AGATTCCATCGCTGAAATCCCGGAGAACCACTACCAGTCAATGTAGACAGTACTGAGCAATTATTTGGCTGTACAAACTTAGGCATGTGGTTCAGCTCTCTGCAGGCTAATCTCAAGCTTGCAACCAAGGTATACTGTACGGTTTACTGTTTGTGCTTTGTCTAGGAGGGCTAAACCACGAACCCACATTTGGAGCACATATTAAGTCATGCATGGCTGGGTGTGGGAAAGCTGCATACAAATAAAACGCTTTTTTAAAATGAGTCGGCTACTGGCCTTTTCAAAATAGTCTTATAAATAAAGAAATAATGGGGTGGAAGGTTCACAGGCTATGAAGGACTTGCTCACAAATTTATTGACAGCTGCACGGATTATGATAGCCAGGACGTGGAAGGGGCAAGCAGAATATAAAATGGAAGAATGGTATAAAGAGGTGTGGGGTATAGCTATTAATGATAAATTAGCATGTGCCATTAAGGTGTGACGGGGAATATGCAGGAGAAATGATTTTGAGGAGAGACGGAAGGTGTTTGTAGAATAAGTACTGTTAAAATGGAAAGAGGTCAAACCATTGCAAGAGGTGATGAAATTTTGGGAGGTTGGATAGTTACAATGGAATGGTCTCGGTGGTGGGGCACACATTTTTATTCTCATTTATTTAAGATTATTATAAAAAAATAAGTAAGTAAGTAAAATGCATTTGATTTTCGCCACCCAGGTGAGCAACCAGTGCAGCCAGATGAAGAGGACCCCCAAGCCGTGTCTCGATTCATCTAGCCCTGAGATCTGCAAAGCTTTCTTCCTGGATGCCGATTCCCTCTTCAGGAACTGCTTCAGAGTAGTGAGTACCTTTTTTTTTTTTTTGGTCAAAACAGGACACAAGATATGAGTTTGCTGCTGTTTGCACACCATCATTCCAGCCTACCTGAGGTCTTCGCCAGCTGCCCCTATGTCACCAAGCCAAGTTCAAGATTCTGGCAGCTCTGGTTTTAAAAGGCCCAGGATATAGGTAATGGCAGGGGAAACCCCTGCGTGAGACCCTGGAGAGCCGCTGCCAGTCAGAGCTGGCTATACTGGACTACATGGGCAATAATGGAAGCTTCCCTATCTGCTGTCTCTGTTCGTGATGACAGAAGCAATCTTAGACCAAAACAGACGGTTCCAGATTTCTTCCCATGGGACTTACCACCTCTTTCTTTTAAAGGTGGACCCAGAACCATTCTATGTCCTGTGCAAAACTGACATGTGTGAACTGCAGAGTGTAAAAGCGGCTTGCACCTTGGCTGCGGCATTTGTGAACTTGTGCAGCAGAAATTTTGTTCCCTTGCAGATGCCAATTCAATGTGGTAAGTAGGTTGTTGTTGTTGTTGTTGTTGATGTTGTATGTGTTTTGGAGGGGGGTTGGTCTGGCTGTCTGCAAATAATCTAAGGATAGCATGTCAATTATGGCTTCCACTCAACTCCTCTATGAGGAAAGGGACTTTTTGATTTAGAGAAAAAGTGACATAATAGAGGTTTATAAAATAATGTGTTGTGAGGAGAAATTGGATAAAGAAAGGTTTACTCTCTCTCTCATAACATAAGAACTTGTGGACATCCGATGATGGGGAATTTTGGAAGATTCTGGACAGATTAAACAAAAGTGCATCTTCAAGCGGTGCATATAGGAAACTGTGTAACTTGCTCCCACCAAGGATTCAACTGCTTGAATAGCCAGGCCAGCTTTTTTAATAATGACCTAAGTATGGGTCCTTAGGGTAACAGGGGAAGTGACTCTGTGCCACAGGACAAATGGGTGGGGGCCCCTCCCTCACCTGTCTAGTAGTTAGAAGGAACCAAAACCTTGTGAGAGTTGTGTGTGACAGCTAGAAGCAGGTGGCAGGCTGTAGCTTGTGAGGGAGAGACATGCTTGATATCTGCTTGAATCCAAGGCTGTGGCTGTAGAAGAATCAAGACCTCCTTGGGACGTTAATGCCATGAGCTCCTCCATCATAGGCTCAGGTTGCATATATATATATATAAATAAACCATATAGCTAAGAGACACCACCCTGTCCTTCATTCCAAGGAAGCTGAACTCTGGGTAAACGCTGGGTGGCAAGCAACAGCTTGTAACCAAAATTGCCAGAATGTTTGGGTTATGGTTGATCTGATGTGCTTATATTATTATTTTGATTATGATTTTCTACAGTTGACCTCCCCATCAACCTTTTTTATTTCAATTTTCCAGACCCGAGGCTGAAAGACAGCAGCTTGCCTAAGACCGTGCAATGAGCCCATGGCAGAGGCAGAGACTCGCACTCAGGTCTCCCAGATCTCAAGGCCGACTCTCTAATGGAGGACCGACCACACACTGGCTCTTGATGTACTTTATCTGTTTGGAGGTCCAGTCTGCCAGCCAGCCACTACGTGGCTTTAGTGAAGAAACTTGGGGAATAGTTAGACCTGTCTAACTTTCAGATAGTTTCTGATTCCACTTTGTTCTGAAGGCAAAAATGTGCCTTTCTGTGCCCAAAACAACTTTGCTGTGCCTTTACCATAAAGAACATCCAGCATGGAAAGCATCAAGCGCAGTAGAATTTATAATAAATGGAAATGTGAAGATATGTTGTGTTAACAAATGAAGAATCTCATTGTAGAAGGGTGTCTTGCTCAGGCTGCAAACGGGGAAATCCAGGCTCTGAATTCTGGCAGCTCTGAATTTAGGATCCTCAGAATAAATGCAGAACAATTCCTGAAATTTCCCTTTGACACATGGCTGGTAGGTGTATTCAACACCTTTCAGCGAAATGCCTCATCTTTGCTCTTGCTTTCAATCCCCAAATCCAGCAATCATCGACATGAACTTGATATTGCCATGTGCTAAATCCATTCCTTAGAATACTTTTAAACTGCCTGTGCAGACTGAGTAATGGCATGTTAGAAATCACTGTATGAAATGTCTTGGCTGCCATATCACCTTAGATCTTGTAAGTTAAATAGACTGAACTATTTTGATTGAATAATAATAATAATAATAATAATAACAATAAACCAATTATTAGGAAAATCATGCCACGAGGTTGTCTTTATTTACCAGGGTTTATGGGGGTTTTTGTGGCAGATGGCAGTGATAGCCAACAACTTATCAACAACAGTTGCTCTGGAATATTTCAACAGTGAACTTAAAGCAATTTATAAATACAATGTAACAAACAACAAAACCAGTAAGAGAAACATTAAGCCAAATAAAACCATTAATTAAAAAAGAGAAGATTGCCTTCATTTTAGATGTCCATTTAAGACATTGCATGACCGCCATATAAGACACTGCATTATGAAGTTTGTACAAGACACACCCTGGGAACTGTAGTTTGTTAAGGGTGCTAGGAATCGTAGCTCTTGGGGTGTGAGGGGTATGCTTTAAATGTATGGTGTGTACGCTCCTTTTGAAACTAACTGCAGGTCGACTTCCAATTTGCCTCACAGGAAACCATTCGTAAATGAAATAAATATTGTAATATATCTTGTAATACAATATAAACATATGCTTGGCTCTTACTACTTTAGGCTTCAAGAGAAGGCTCACATGACGGACTGAATACACCTTCATGTGGAAAAATGAGTAGCCTCTGAACCACAGAAGCTTTTGTCATAGTTAGTTCTTAAGATGCAGCAAAGAACAGCAAACGGTTCTTGTTGCAACACACCTGTACATATCTCATCAGATGCTAGTCCCATTGAGTTCAGCAGGGCTTGCTCTCAGATAAGTTTGAGGGATCCCCAAGGGGTGAAAATGAAGGCTTGGAAGAGATGGGCAACTTGGGGGAGTCAATGGAAGCACCTGCTCAGAGGACCTTTCTCATCACATCCACACCACCACACCCTTAAAGCATATGGCTTTGTCCACAGCACCTAGAGATCTAGAGTTTATCCTAATACCTGTAGGATTTGCACCCGCAAAACCATTCATTCACTCCATTTGTATCCTGCCTTTTTCCTCCAAGGAGCTCAAGGTGGCAACTAGGGTTCTCCCCCTCCTCATTCAACGCTCACAACAACCCTGCAAGGTATGTGTTATGTACTGAGTTGAATAGGATCCAAACTGCAGCAGTCTGATTGGTCCTAGAACAATAGGATTCAGAATGCAGCAGTCTGATTGGTCCTAGAACAATAGGATCCAAAATGCAGCAGTCTGATTGGTCCTAGAACAATAGGATTCGGAATGCAGCAGTCTGATTGGTCCAAGAACAATGCAGCAGTATGATTGGTTGGCAGGAACCACCCAATCATGCTCCAGATATAAGTGAATCCACAACCTGATTGGCTTACAGTAGAATTCCAGAATTAGCCAATCATGTGCAGCCCATTGTGTAAATAATGTATATAAAGCAGATACTTTGAGGGGACATTTATTCCTTCCTCCTCACCACTATGAGCTGAATAAAGAGCATGAAATCACTTTGCGACTCTGAGTATATTTCAGTATGTTAGGTGGACAGAGGCAATGAGTGGCCCAGTGTCACCCAGGGAGCATTACGGCAGAGTGGGAATTTGAACTCTCCTCTCCCAGGTCCCTGTAGTCGCTACACCACGGCCTACCAGAGGCAGTGTAGTGTAATGGCCAGAGCGCTGGACTAGGACTTGGGAGAACAGGGTTCGAGTCCCCACTCAGTCACGACCTTGAGGGCCAGTAACCGTCTCTCAGCTCTAGCATACAGTGGAGGAGAGCGAGAAGCGTATACACCGCCTTTGAGCTCCTTGGAGGGGAAAAAAAGGTATAAACGAAATAAATAAGACACTAGAGGGGCGGAGTGGGGGAAATTTATTATAACTAAGGAGAGGAACACCCGCAGAGCACAGCATGGCTTGCCCCGCGCGCATGCGCACTCGAGGGGGGAACTCGGACCTCAATTCCAGGACGAGGAGAAGTAAAGGGGCGTGTTACGGCTGGCGGCGGCCTTTTACGACAGCGAGCGGGTTTCCCTTGACGGCAGGAGGCGCCGGAAGTAGCGGAGCGCAGGCGGAAGTGGGAGAGGGGGAAAGGAGAAGGCGGGGAGCAAAACAAAAAGGGAGAGGAGGCGGCGGCGGCGGGACGCAGGCGGTGGGCGCTGGGATGTGAGGTGGAGGACGTGGGGCCGGAGAGGTGAGGGGACGCAACTGGGGCGGGGAGAGCTAGGGAGCTTCCCCTTTTCCTTCTGGGGGGTCTCTGAGGAGGAGGAGGAGGGGGGCTGAAGACTTGGGGCGGGGAGAGAATGGGGGAGGGAAAGCGTTCTGTGCATGCTCAGAGGCCCTTTCCCCTTCTCTTCCAGTCAGGGAAGGCCTTCCCCGCTCAGCGTCCCCTTATATCTCCCCCTCCCTCTTCTATATACGTTGTTATAGGAAGGGGTGGCCTTGGAGGGAACTTTTATTTTTTGCTCGAGGGTTTTCCCTCCCCGTTTGTGGCTTGTCGCGCCCCCGCCCCCCATCTCCTTGCTCCCCTTACACATAGTTTATTGCCTATAAGTGTGTGTGTGTGTGAAGTATATATAGCCTGGTTTTCTCATGCAGTGTGGCTTACAAAGCAAATTTCAGTAATTTCAATTTTAAGAACCTGACGGTGATAGCTTAATAAACTGCGTAGCGGATAAAGCAACCCGACAAACGAACGAGAACTCTGAAAAGGGGAGCCGCTAAGGCTCAGGAGCCAAAACAACGAGCTCTCCTCTAGAGTTTTTCTCCCTCCCTGGTAATTAATTTAAAACTCCTAGTAGCCACTTGGGTGAGTCAGTCACTCCCCGCCGCTGCATTAAAGCTCCTCGTCCCCCATGGCATCTCCCCGGGAGCTTTTTTCCCTCTGCTTGTAGCTCCCCTTGCTCCTCTCGCAGCTGCTCTCAACTCCTCGGCTCCTTCAAGCGTCCTCTTGCTTTAATCCATAGCCCAAAGCAAAGGCCCAGTAGAGTAGCTCCCAAGGTGAAACTTTTTAATCTAAAATATATACACCCTTGGTAGTTGGACTTGTGAACTGTTTCTCAGCCAATGCTCAGGGCAGTTTGAAATTTTAAAATGGCATAGCAAAGGTCTATTAAGAATACTTTTCATTGCATATTCATCTTCCATACCCCAACTACTTTAGCAGCCTGCTAGTAGTGGAGTGGGGTTGGTGTAACCACAGTTCAGCATAGTAAAGGCACAGGATTATGTTAATAACAATATGTGGAGTTGTAAGAACCTGGGAGATATGCAAAATTTTACTGGGAAGCCTACAGAAGAAAGCTAGTAGAGATGGAGTAGAAGATAAGGAACTGAGCAGGAATGTTTTGAAAATAATGTGTATGTACACTTGTTATGTTTGTAAGCCTGAGTGCTGTAACAAAATGAAGCCCTCCCCCCCCCCCAAGTTGGCTCATAAAATTAGTTTTCTTTATATTGCTTCATGTAAGGGCTGCATTTCTAAAAAATAAAGGTTAAAAGTTGTGAAGAAATGAATTTCTTTGGTGAATTATGTTGGGGAGTGGTTATGGCTTTCTGCAAAATATAAATTAGTAGCAGATATGGGTGGTGCCATATTTCTGGAGAAGTTCCCATGGAGGTGCATATGACCCCTCCTTTAGTGACTTTTCAGAGTATTCATGCAGCATTTTAATTTCAGTCTACTTTAAATTTTTAATAGCTGTTTCTTACAGAGGTGTTAACTGCTTAAAGTGGTATAATCATAATTTTAAATTGTTGATTTTGTATCTCTTATGACTGGTTTTATACGTTGCCTTGTGAGAACACTTGTCCTGGAAGGCAGGATATAAATCTTATCATATAATATAAATAATAGAAAAAGAAGAAGAGTTTGGATTTGATATCCCGCTTTATCACTACCCGAAGGAGTCTCAAAGCGGCTAACATTCTCCTTCCCCTTCCTCCCCCACATCAAAAACTCTGTGAGGTGAGTGGGGCAGAGAGACTTCAAAGAAGTGTGACTGGCCCAAGGTCACCCAGCAGCTGCATGTGGAGGAGCAGAGACGCGAACTCGGTTCCCCAGATTACGAGTCTACCGCTGTTAACCACTACACCACACTGGCAGACTTGGAGTGTTTTTAACAAATTATTTACTTATTAGTGAAGGTATACTGTAGTATACTGTATTAGGCGGTGATAGGCTCTGTGCCTGAGCCCCCTTCTAATTCTTGGACCCAGCACAGATTCAATTCCTGGAATAGCCAGGCTTGCTAGTGAGGTAATGGCCACCAAGGGAACAAAGAAATTGGCTCTGTGCCCTCCCCCAACTTGCTAATACTTTGAAAGACAAAGGCCAGAGTTGAGGGTTGAGTTATGTGAGGTAGAAGGTAGAGGTTGCAGGCTGGGCAGTTGGGAGAGTCAGAACCATTCCTGTTTTATGCTGGAGTCCAAGGCTGCAGCTACAGGAAGAGCCTTGGTTGCTAAAGCTGTGAGCCTCTCCATTCTAGGCGCAGGTTGTATATATGTGCAAATAAGCCATATATCCTAAAGACACCACAATCTCCGCTGTCCCTCATTCCAAGGAAACCGAACCCTGGGTAAGCTTCTGGAACCCCTGGAATCTTGCACCTCTCAGAGATCGGGGTGGCAGTACTACCAGAAGTGGCCAGAATCAGGAAATCTGTATTCCTGTAGTTAGTGTTAGTCAATGTTTGCTTATTTGTGGCGCTTGCTGAGAAAACAACGTGATTTCCCCCTCCCCCACGTGTGCATACAAACGTTATCTAGTAGTTTGTAGTCTACTTGCTGTAGGTGATATGGAACCACTTAAGCAAATATTCATAGGAGACTTCTGATTCTGAGCAGCCTTACTTGAACTCCTTTAGTTACTACTCTTTGACATCTGTAGTGAATTGGAAGGGAAGATAGACTTTGTCCAGGCTACTTTAACAAGCAGAACAGATGATTGCATAAATCCAGAAGCTTGTTTCCACATAGTATTTGCAACTAAAGGTTAATATTAACTAAACGTTAGGTCATTTTAATGATCATACCTGGATTGATTTTTTGATTTAAATATATGCTTTTCTTTTTTTTAGCAGGTAGAGAGAATGAAAGAAAGGAAAGATGTCAGAATGTTGACCTCTGTGTGGCAGTATAATGGAAGGAAACATAACGGAGGACGTCTGTACTAGATCGTTTGGATGGCTTCAGCAACAAAATAACGATGCTAGACCATGGCTCTGGAAATTCTCTAACTGCTTTACAGCTACTGAACAGAGTTTCCCTCCTAGTGCAAAAGCGGTAGGATTTTGGCATACATTTGCTGAGTTGAATGCTAGTACACCAGTGACCTATTGAAGGTGCTAAGTGTCCTGTTTGTGTCATCAAAGAAAGAAGGTGCAATGTATATTAAGATATTTAATACTCTCCTAAGGGGTAGTTTCCTTCTATCCCAGAAACTGAGCATAAATGTGTCCTACCCTATTAGAGGTGAGGAACCTGTTGTGCCTCCCCCCACCACCGCCCCAACCTGGGATAGTGGACTTCAGCTGCCATCAGCATGGGCACTGGTCAGGGAAGATGGGACTTGTTGTCCAACTGGAGGTTCATATGTTTCCTACATTACAGATTCCCATTTTTGCTTTAAATGTTTAGACCAGTAAGCCTGCAACTCAAAATCACATATAGTCAGAGCGCGTTGGGTTCAGTGGTGGGTGAGTGATACAGAGAGGGTTTTCCTTCATATTGAACTTGCCACCTTGACGTTATCAGCACCATGCTCTAACCAATTGAGCCATCCAGGTAGTAAAAGAGGAGGGCTTGGAGTATGCCAGCAGTTACCTTTTAACAACTCTTTACCTCGCTTTCACAGCATCTGTTTTCTGCCATCAGTGCCCTTGTTCTTCAGGCAACTGTAATCAAATCTTCATTCTGTTCCGTTTCCTGTGTTTAAAAAATAAATAAATCTAAATTGGTTCAAAACCCAATAAATATGTAAAATGAATATATGAAGTTTGCCTTTGGCCTACATAATGTTAAACGTATGTGAGTTCCATACCCTCACAGGTTTTGTCTGTTGGAGCCGTAACCTGGTGCTATAAGACTAAATGTATCCTCTGATCTTCTTTATAATGGTTCTCTACCCCTCAGAACGAGTCCATGGAGAATAAGAAAGCTGCTGTGGATTTGAAGGATGCTCCATCCCCCCGCCATACTGCTTTGAAACAGTTCACAGCTGTCCCCCTTCCCAGTGATCACACCCTTCAGCAAAAGCAAATCCAACTTTCATCTGGTTCCAAAGTAAGCTGTTGTACTCATAACTCTGATTCTTCCGTTCATGCTCCTCAGCTACGTTTTGGTGGTAGTGGTGGCAGCAGCAACAGTGGTGGTGGTAGCTTGATTCACCCTGGCACAGTATTAGACTCACAAGGCACCGGCACAATCACTTGTCAAATAGGGTCAGGGTTTGCCTATCGGTCTGCATCGTCATTCAAGAACGTTCCAACGCAAAGCGGCGTGGCAGGAGTGGCCAGTGACTTGTCTGGAGTGTGCCTGGAAAACGATGTCTCTTCTTGCCCACATTTCCCCTGCTGTGGGAAGCTCCACTTCCAGTCCTGCCACAGCAACGTCCACAAACTGCACCCATTTCCTACCCATCAGAGCTGCACAACTTCGGGCTACTTCTCCTGTTCTGAATTCACAAGCGGGGCTGCGGGGCTTTTGGAGGAGCACGTTGCACAATCGGAGCGAACGTCTTGTGCTTGCACCAACTCGCTGCACCTAAAAGTGGCACCTTCAGTTTGCTTAAAGGGCTCTCACTACTGCACTGAGTGTCTAACCAAGGTTTGTACCACACCATTTATAACATACTGTGTATACTGAAAATGTCAGCAGAGTATTTGGATGTTTTGTAGATTTAACCTGATATCTCTAGCCTTCCAATTAATATGTTGATTTAAACTGTATTTGGAATTGGGGTGGATGGTTGCCAGCTTCATAGAAATGTAAAACCCTCATTCTCTTTCGTCTCCTAATCCTGTTCCGTAGTTTCTTGAGGAGCAGCATACTGCATCTAACTGTTCTAGAATAATAAACTTAGTATTCCCTTTCACTGGCACACAGGTTCAGTTCAGCTAAAGCTCCAAGCTGTGGTTAGATGCTACATCAGGAGTTGCCAGCCTGGTGCCCACGGATGACATGGCGCCCATGAAGGTTTCCAGTGTTGTCCCTGGGAAGGTGTCCTAGACTCTGAACTTTCATATAATAATAATAATAATAATAATAATAATAATAATAATAATAATAATAAATGTCTTTAGTCCTCCTAGAAAGGAAGTTAATGGGGTAAAATATGCAGGTACCTTGTTAGTGATTTTTGTGAAAGGGGAGTAATATGGCTACCTTCTATATTTGAGGGGTGATCACTGCTTTTATTAGACAACAATAGCAGCAGTGTATGTGAAAGAGATCTCCATAATCAGGACCAGCAGGGCATAGCTGACATCCCATGGGAATCGTAAGGTTGTCATGGGTGGCTGTCGCTCTCATGTTGTGTTTTGCCACGCTCTCCACAGCAACCATTTTGTGTTACACCATGCCCACTCCATGACAGCCATTTTGTCACTGAAGCAAATGTGTTTTTCATCGTTCCCCCTGTTGAATTATTATTTGGCCCATCAAACAGATGCTAAGAAAACAGCATATTGGGGGGGGGGTATTTTTTAAAGGTGAGTCATGTTTGTTACCTGAAACTAATGCCAAAGCAGAAGAAGTAACTCAAATCCTAAACTCGAGAATAAATGTTGAGGTTCTTTAATAAGTTCAGTCCTATCACATGGTTGCCAGCAAATGTTGCTTCTTCAGCAACAACTTTTTGGCACTTGGGCAACGAAGCCTTTTAAGAGGGAAAGCTTGCAATGTGTGATCACATGTTTATGTCTACCCAGGCCCAACCACAGTAGAGCAGGGTAGGGATTGGTTACCAGAAGCCTGTGCTGTGGGCACCCACAATCTCCCATTAATGTGAGATGCTGTTTTTACTACAGGTGTATTTACAGCACCATTTGGATTTGTCCCTTGAGTTAATGTGGCAGTCTTTTAGCCCGTTTTTTTCTCCTCTCTGCCCTGTCAGTGGTGGAGACTGAGCGGGATGTGCATTGGCCTAGATCCAGTAAAGCCATTACAGTATAGCCTTATGTCTCAGTCCTGCTCTGTTCTCAAGTTGTGCGCTTTCCCCTGGACTCCTTGCACCACAAGAATCTACTTCAGAAACAGAAGACTTGATTCCACCACCCCTTTTCAAAGTGAGGAAGCTTTCTCTCCCCCCCTTTTTTTTTAAAGTTGCCAACCCAGGGTATGTATGAAATGTATGAGCTTAACTTATATAGACCCTTGCAAAATCACAGCAGGTCTCCTTGTCCTGGAATGTGGGTCAGTTGACAGCATGCTGCATTTATGTCTCTTAGTGTGGTTAATAAGTGATGCTGAACATTTTCCCAGCAGCCATCCAGAGAGAGTTTGGTTGATGCAGCTAAAATATGGCCAAATACAGCTCCTCCAAATGTCCAAGCTGCACCTGTCTCCCTCCCAATATGTAACGGCTGCGGAACCAAAGGAGTAAGAAAAGAGAAGACTTTACTTTTGGCGAGCAGCTTTGGTCAGTTGCCACAGAAATACGGTAAATTGGCAGGTGTGCTTTTAAAAATGAATCATGGACTGTTTGATCTGTTTTAAGAGCGTTATCTCTTTTAAGTGTTGCCTTTTGGGGTTGTCCTTTTTCTCCCACAGATTCATCTTTTAATGGGTGTTAGTCATTATGGCTGCATGGGACTAACAGGTTCAGAGGCAATTCCTAGTTACTGGAGAATAAAGGTGGAAGGGGGGCTGTTGAAATCCTATCCTGCTAATGGGCTTCCTGAAGGCACCTTGATGGTTATTTTGGGATGCTGGACTAGATCAGCCTTTTTCTTTTCTTTTTTCTAAATCCAGCAGGGCTTTTATTACATTTTTGGAAGTAGATGGGCAAAGTATCTCTATCATTATCCTGTTAGCATATTATCTGTGGCTGTGATGTCATGGAATGTAGCCTACAGAATTGAGGCAGGGGTGGGGGAGGAGGCAAGAAGGCCAGTCAGCCAAACCAACCCATCCTTATTCACTGCTGTCACCAAGTGGCTATCCTTATTTATCTCTTAACAGCCCTTTAACCTTCTGGACTTTAAATAGCCCAGTCTACTCCCTGTGCTGGGTACACTGGTCTCATCCATTGCTGTTTGCATTGCATAGTGTGTGAGACAGAACTTTTGTTAAAACCTCAAAGTCTCAATTCTGCTGAATTCCTTTTGATGGTGAAATGTCAGAAGCCTCACTATGGATTTTTTTTTAGTTCTGCTTATTGAAATTAAAGATCCCAGTTTGTCTCAGGTGGAGTGAAATGAAATTCCACCATGTAAGGACCACAGATGGGCTGATGTTTTAACTAATGGTATTGTGCTGAACATTTCCCCTGATATATCACTTAAACTAGATGGATTTAATCCATGGGTGGTTAACTTGTGGCCCTCCAGATGTGGTTAGATCAGGACTTTTGAAGAGCCCCTAAGCAGCATGGCCATTGGTCAAGGATTATGGGAGTTGTAGTCCAGCAACATCTGGAAAGCTAAAGGTTAGCCATCCTGACAGCTCTCTGTGTAATTAATCCCCCAGATATAGCATTCTAACATCTGGCAAACTTGTGAAACTGCTGCAAGTTCTAACAATAGCATATGACCACTTTCTATCTTTTCCAACTGTAGGATCTCCAGAGGTTGCTCTAACAGGGCAAGTGCTAGAAAATTTGCCTCCCATTGGAGTCTTTTGGGATATTGAAAACTGTTCTGTTCCTTCTGGCCGTTCAGCTGTGGCAGTGGTACAGCGAATTCGTGAAAAGTTCTTCAAAGGCCACAGAGAGGCAGAGTTCATTTGTGTGTGTGATATCAGTAAGGAGAGCAAAGAAGTTATTGAAGAACTGAACAACTGTCAGGTAAGCCTCTCTCCAGTTTAAAGTTTGACCTGGGGAAGCGAATAGTTCCTGAAACTACAGAGTTGGAGGGAGGGTCTCATAAGCCAGGAATCTCAACTAGAGCACCCATGGCAGATGGCATCAAACACAGGGGCGAAACTAGGCTTTATTTCATCTGGGTCAAAGACTCGGTTTGGCACACACCCCCACACACATTTGCATACACACGAACCCACAGGCTGGGACCCTCAGTGTCACCCCAGGTGTTTTATTGGGTCCTGTTGTATTTAGTATGAATGTTCCCTGTATTTTTTTAGGTGACAGTTGCACACATTAACGCAACAGCAAAGAATGCAGCTGATGACAAGCTCAGACAGAGTCTTAGAAGATTTGCTGATACTCACGCCGCACCAGCCACTGTGGTCCTTGTATCAAGTATGTATAAACAGTGCTTTAAAAAAAAAGAATAGGTTTTTGTCGTCATTTGGTTGGTTTTTGCCCACATATAAGAACACATGCTCAGTTTCATTCAGATCGATTCACAAACTATCCTGATCACAGTAGTAATGTGTTCTACACAACTTCTACATAAAATTGTGCTCTGATCAGCGGGGATTTCCTCCCCTGTTTTGCTTAAATGAGCATAATATTAAAACTATTCTGGGTTTTAATTCATCTTGGTTTTACAGTCCATGCCAAGATGGTTGCATTGGCTCAAGTGGGACTATAGAGAACAAAGGAACGAGATACAGTCATACCTTGGAAGTCAAACGGAATCTGTTCCGGAAGTCCGTTCGACTTCCAAAATGTTTGAAAACCAAAGCGTGGCTTCTGATTGGCTGCAGGAAGCTCCTGCAGCTAATCAGAAGCCGCGGAAGCCCCATCAGATGTTTGGCTTCCAAAAATTGTTTGCAAACCGGAACAGTCACTTCCGGGTTTGCGGTGTTCGGGAGCCAAAACTTTCGGTAACTAAGCTTTTTTACTTCCAAGGTACGACTGTACTTGGAAACAGCTCTGGGCTTCTATCAAAGCCGATGAGTGCTGCATTGAAATATCCATTAATGCTCCTTCAAGTTTCCAGGTTTAGGAAGAATAGAGATTGCTAGGGCCACAGTCAGTCATGGGGAACCTTCTAAGGGCCTTGTACCAGCAGTGGGTGGGGCCAAGGGCAAAAGTAAGTGGGGCCACATCTCTTACATAGGCTGGCTTTATTAGAACTCAAGGATGTATTCCAGCCAAGGAAAACTACTGGGAAAGGGTGCAAAGTGGGTCTGCAGAGACTCCCAAAAGCCCATAGATTTGGATCTGGTGTGCTTCATTTGGCTCTTGGGTTGAAAAAAGTTTCCCTTGCCAGACTTGAGCGCATCTCTGGAACATGGGCTACCTTGCTTCCAGCTTGCCGGTGGTGACTGGTGCTGCTTTCAGTTCTCTTCTGCTTGACCACCTCCTTGCAGTACATCCTGTGTCAGCGTGCATTGGAAAGTTTTTTTGCTCCTGCAGTTCCTGCATAAAGAAGCTCTAGGAGTAGCATCTCACAGAGACTTTCTTCCCAAGCTTGTCATTGAGGAACGAAGTCATAAGGGGGAGAAAGGGAGGGGGGAAGGTGAAATTATACATATAATGCTGCTGAATGAAGATGCACTTTCCTGGGAACTCATTCATTCTGTAGCCTGGAAAATCTCCATGGAACTTGGTTGAAACTACCTTTCTCACCCACTGCACACACACAGTAATGCAGGCTAATAGCGTCCTCTGTCGGGGCTTACGCTGGGGATGCAGATTCCCCTGGTCCTCCATACGGTAGTCAGATAACATAGCAAGAGCCACAGGTTTCCTCGCTCTGCTTTACACTCTGGAGTACCACCTTCTCAGCCTGTCTGATGCATCTGTATCTTATTTCTCCTCAGTTCAGGATGTAATCTGAGCCATGGCTCAGTTGAGGAAGGAACACAAGTAACTAGCTGCCTTCTGAGTGTGTGTGAAGTCTGTTTCCTCCATGTTGAGTAACTACAGCCTCCCCTTAACTCATTCAGCGTTTGGGAACTGCCATTTTAAATGAGACAGTAGTAGAAATAATAACAGTCAGAAACTGCTGCCTCCTAGTGCAGCCCACAGTTGTTTGAGCACACAAAGCTGCCTTGTAGCGAGTCAGACAATGGGTCTCTCTAACCCAGTCATGTCTACTCTGACTGGCAGTGGCTCTCCAAGGCTCAGATGGAGGTTTCCCCCAGCCCTGCTGCTTGAGGCCCCTTTAACTTGAGTAGCCTGGGGACCTGTGTGCAAAACATATGCTTGGCCAATGATCTGTGGCCCTTCATATGAAGGTAGGCCATTGAAAGTTAAGGGTGAAAAGAGCTGCTGTGAATTCCTGCCTTTGTCTCCTTTAAATGTGAGCAAGTCTTTTCTAAAGTCACACTTTACAGTCAATGATGTCCACAAGAGACACCCTCTCATATTGTGTTCCCTTCCTGGCATTCTTCCCAACCCCCCTTCTTCTCTTTCCCATCTTCCAAAGTGGAAGGAAAAGAGGCAGTCAAAGAGTGAGATAAATTTATTGCTGGCAGATTCCATTTTGGGGAAGGGGGGAGCGAGGAATAAACAAGCTACTGAATGAAAAAGATGATGTTTTTCATTTACCAATGAGAGTCACAAAAATAGGTTCTCATTTTTAGTTCTGAATTATTCTGTGTGTCTGGGTCCTTATTTGTGGAGGCAGGCTGCCACCTGATTCTTGAAATGAAATTATCCTTGCAGGGGTTTGGTTTTTTTAACAGAGGCAAGGCAATGAATAGTAGTGACCAGGAAAGAAAACAGGGTCCCAGTATGGCTTTGTTGCCATATTGCAATATATCTTGATGTTCCTGAACAATTGATCTGCTGAGGCTTTTGGGGGGAAACACCCTATGAAAATGTGAACTTGTCAAAACCGTCTTCAGTCAATGATTTATTGTGTTGTTTTTCAGCTGACGTAAACTTTGCACTAGAGCTCAGTGACTTGAGACACCGTCATGGTTTCCACATAATCTTGGTGCATAAAAATCAAGCTTCTGAGGCTCTCTTGCATCATGCTCACGAGCTCATCAGATTTGAGGAATTCATTTCAGATTTGCCTCCAAGATTGCCACTGAAAAAACCAGTAAGTGATTTTCCTCTCTGGTTTTTAGATGACTTGACTGGAGCACTAGCTTCCATTCAGCCAAAGTAATTGTATTTCTAGATGTGGCTTAGATTGGTCCTGGGTGTGATATGCAAATCTTTTAACAACTCACGTGCCAGCAATACATGGTTAAACAGCTAACTCCTAGTTTCACAACAAGACTCTCCCATGCTCCAGTTGCATGTTAAAATTTCCTTTTAATGTATGCCGGCTTTACTCTGGGAACAATAAGCATTATGTTGCTCAAAGTGAGCATAAAACTTAACTGTTTTGTGAACTCTCAGAATACAGAAGGAAGTGCAAAATTTGGGACTTCGGTTGCAGGTTTTCATGAAAAGTTGAAGTGCTCTTGATTTTGTGGAGAAGCTTGCAGTGATGTTGGTTTGCCCCCTCATTGCAGCAGGTGGCTTGGGTGCAACTGCAGGTCTTTGTCCCCTCTCATATATTGCAGAGGAGTTGGGGACACTGGATGGATTTACATATGGAAGCAGACAGGAAGAGAAAGAAGAGGAGGGGTGTCATACTCCAATGAACATTAGGCAGCCACCATTTTAATTGCCCAGCCATAGAATTGTAGATTTCTAAGAGACCCCAAGGGTCATCTACTCCAGCCCCCAGCAATGCAGGAATCTCAGCTGGAATAAAATCATAGTCCACTGCCCTGGGACATGGGTGGACACCCAAGATGGATGCTACATTGCCCCAGGGCAGTGTGGGCAGTTAAAAAGGCAGAAGAGGAGACCCAGAGCAGCAGTGGTAGCTGTTAAAAAGCCTGGCAATTAGTGGTGTCTGTCCAAAGCTTAATCTTTGGAGTCTTTATCGGCCCATGTTCCAAATTTTCTTGAGCACAAATAGTCCATAAGCTATGGTTTATCTGTGTTGCTGTTTCTTAATGATATAATACCAGCATACTTTGTCTTCAGGTATGATTCTACCCCCTAGTCTCCAGAAACCCACTAAAAAACAGCCGTTGTCTTTTAGGCATGCCATACCCTGCTATATGTTTACAACCTGCCAACAAACAGAGACAGCAAAAGTGTCTGCTACAGGCTCCGCCGTTTGTCAGACAATTGCGGAGGGAAAGTACTGACCATTTCCGGCAGCAGCGCGATCCTCCGCTTCTTAAATCAAGACAGCGCTGAGCGCGCTCAGAAGCGGATGGAGAACGAAGACGTCTTCGGCAACAGGATCGTCGTTTCTTTTACCCCTAAAAACAAGGAGCTTGCTGAAGCCAAGAATGCAAGCTCTACCGGAGCGGAAAAAGTGAAGTCACCTAAAAAAGCGAACAAGAGCTCAAAGCTGTGCCTCGTGGGCAGGGACTCCACTGATCCATCAGCAAAAGCTGCTGTGGGAAAAGGCCCTCAGTTGCACGGCTCTGTTGCAAAGAACACCGGCGTGAAGAGCTTACAGGTAATCGCTTCATTAATTTAAAACTCTGAGGTGGGTGAGACATATTCAGCCTTAGAGGGTTTTTTTTTTTTAATCCACTAGTCTGCCCTACCCTTTGTCACCAGCCTCTCTGAAGTGTGTCCATCTAAATCAAACCCAGAGTGGATCTATTGAAATGTGTGGACTTGTCAAGTTACAGTGGAAACCACACTTTTGGCCTTAGTGTCACATGCACTGCAGGCTCTGTCCCTCAAAATCTGCACACTGAGCCCAGGTGTCCATAAATAGGTCGTCCTTGTATTCTGATGACTGTGCAAAACCACCCAGTTGCAGATGTTTTTACTGAACTTGCAGGGGACACAACCAATGCCATGTGCAGTGTTGGGAACTGGGTTTCTGCTTGCTGCACCCCAAGGTTCCACTAGCTGGTGTATAATAAGGAATTGTATTGTGCTTCCCATATTTAGATTCTGCTTTTGCTGCTCAAACATCTGCACTAGTTGCCCACATGCTACTGGACCTGGTTCAAGGCTCTTGGGTCCAGGTTACCTTAAAGGCTTGATCTCAGATAATCCAGGGGAGTGCTCTTAATTGTCCCATGTGTTACAGAGGCCTGACTGGCTTTGACCTGAATTCAGGCTTCTAATGTCACTGGTCCCATGCTGCAGAATATTTTTCCAGCAGAGATTCGGCAGGCATCCTTGCATTTGATTTTCAGGCATGTCTTGAAGATATTATTATTCTGACAGACCTTTGCAGCTGCTTACAGATTTTCTTGGACAGTCATCTTAATGATTGTTTTGTATTGCTGAAGTTTTATGAGATGGTTGTTAACATAAATTTACACATAAATGATTTTCATTCATTTATGTAGCAAAATGTGTATACTGTTTGTTAAAAATGAACAGCAACAACAACCTCTAAGCGGCTAACCAGAAATATAAAACATTCAGAGTCTTGATAAAAGCAAGGAAGTCCAGGTATTTGAAAGCATTCAAAAGATGATTAAAATAAACAGTAGCTAAAAAGCAATAAATCACATGTAACTTCTACATGTCTGGATAAGTTGCCCAAACAAAAATATTTTAAGCAAAAACTGAAAAGAGTATTATGAAGGTGCGTGTCGTTAGTAGGCCACGAATTCCAAAGTGTAGATGCTGCTTCTAAGGAATATTATTCTTATTATGAATTGAATTTATATACTGCCCTATACCTGCAGGTCTCATATTCATGTCTAAGTTGTGGGTTGCATTTAGCCTACCATAATCCCCTCTTGCTTGCTGACCTGCATAATTTTTTTCTTCAAGGAACTTTGCCGCATGGAGTCAAAGAACGTGAACGTTGCCGAGAATCACAAAGACCCAATAAAAGAGGACACTGCGTCATTGCAAAGTAACTCTAGTGCATCAAGTTCTACAGCCCTGGCAACCAAGAAGGCAGGAGCAGGAGACTCTGTTCACAAAAACAGTCTAAAGTATGTCATGCGCAAGTTTGAATTTTGTAAAAAGCAAGAATCAAAATTGCAAGCTAATGAGGCCATTCTTCTTCATGCAGGAAAGATTCGCTGGCAGCCAGAAGCATCAGCAACTCCCCAATAGAGAGAAAAGAGAAGGATGATGTATTCCAAGTTAGCTACCCATCTGCTTTCAGTATGCTCACAGCTTCAAGGCAGCTCAGTCCTGTGCTGATATCTCAAAGTCGCTGGTCCTCTAGGTAAGCACCTCTTGCAGTCCAAAGCTCTGACAAAAGCAGAAGACCCTTGGGCTCCAGTTTTGGGGATTTCTCTGAATTCTCCTTTGGAATGCTTGTGCAGGGATGAATCCACCCTGAGGTCTGCAAGGAAGCTTGTCCCAAGATGCTTGGGAAACTTATATGGGTTTTAATCTTGTTTCTCAGTATGCACGTGTGTCTGCATATATATACCTGTCACCAGTGGATTAGTGCAGTGGTCTGAAGCCAAACTGAGGAATGTAGAAACTGGCTTATACTGCATATAAGATCCATTGGTCCATATCACTTAGTATTGTTTACACCAGCAGGAAGCCACTCTAGGGTTTCAGACAAGGGATATTCTTGGTGCTACCTGGAGATGCCTTGTGTGTGCAAATTGCTCTACTACTGAGCTATGGCCCTTAAGCTCTCTCCTCTGCTTTCATCCTCTTGCTGTCTTCTTGAGTGTTGGCTAGTGGTTGATCCATTATCTGTCTGCACATGCAAGCAGAAGAGAGCAATCCTTGGTGTGTGAGGCTGGCATAGGCAAACTCGACCCTCCAGATGTTTTGGGACTACAACTCCCATGATCCCTGGATAATAGGACCAGTGGTCAGGGATGATGGGAGTTATAGTCCCAAAACATCTGGAGGGCCGAGTTTGCCTATGCCTGGTGTGAGGAATTGAAAGGTCACAGTGACTGGGATACCCATTTTTGTAACATGTGACTGGTGATGTTTGGAGACACTAGACCTTTTGTTTTTAAAAGTGAAAAAAGGATCTTTACACAAGAATTTAAAGGTTGTTCTGTGTTTCTGTATTATGTGAATGTGACACTTCTTGACTTCATTTGTTCGTTGAACAGATGTGTGTAACTCCAGTCCGTGTGTTGCAAAATAGACCTGTTCGGGATATTTTGCTGCTCACTGGAAGAGTACATGCTTTGCATGTCAATAGTCTCAAGTTCAGGTTCATTCCCTGAGACCCCATCCGAAACCCTGGTGTAAAGACCTAGAGATGGCTTACCCAGCACGGTGCTCTCTAAATACTGTTGCAGTATGATTCTCATCAACCACAGCCAAGATGGTCTACAGTCAGGGATAGTGGGAGCTACACTCCCAACATCATCTGGAGGGAGCCACATTGGCTATCCCTGAGCCAGGAAGACCAAAAATCTGATTCTAGTATAACTAACTGGATTCGGTATTCGAAATATTTCATATCTCTTAAAGAAAAATTACCTTGCTCTTTAAATGCCTAAAGCGATTTCTCCTTGTGTATGTTATGTACAGTGGAATGAATAATTCTAGAACTCCCTTGCTTTCCTCCCTACTTCATTAGGAGTGTGTCCCCAAACCTCTCAAACAGATCTTCTCCACTCGCCTTCATCAATCACACTGGTAGCGGGGACTACCCAGATCCTTTTGCAAACGGAGCAGACATCCAGATTAGCAATATAGACTACAGACTGTCCAGAAAGGAGCTGCAGCAAACTTTGCAAGAAATCTTCTCTAAGCATGGCAAGGTAAACATCAGAGTTTACTTGCATTTGCCCTGTTTTGGATTTTGTGGATGCAGCTCAAGAGCAGAAACTCTTGTTCCTCATTGCAGATCATTTCAGAGCGGGTCACATGTTAAAACAAATTGGCATAAACACAGAAATGGATGAACTACAACCATTGTGCCACCTGTGCTCTAGCCATTATTCAGCTGGCTTTATTGTCTGCAGAGAACCAGAGCTCTGCAGTGTTGGAGAGGGTAGTTGGGGCTGATTGTGTCGATGATTCTGTACATACACAAGTATCATACGTCAATCCTGGTATTTGTGTGCTGATTTGATCTCTTATTTCAGGTAAAGACTGTGGAACTCAGTCCTCATACTGATTATCAGCTGAAGGCTATAGTACAAATGGAGAATTTACAGGAAGCAATACGTGCTGTCAACTACCTTCATAGATACAAAATTGGCAGCAAGAGGATCCAGGTTTCGCTGGCTACAGGAGCTACCAATAAATCCCTGGCACTGGTTAGGTAATTTTAAAATAAGCTACAACATCTAACATGGAGACTTTTGAAAGCTGAGGATTAGCTATGCATCAAATAGTTAGAATAGAGTACCACATTTGAAGCATATAGATGGTAGACCGTGTTAGCATGAAGAATGCTCAGGGGCTTCACCGGTCTTCAAATAGTTACCTTAAATGAATGGAAGGATCTATCTGTTTTCTTTGTAGGTTGGGGCAGAATGGGGAAATAATGGATTCAAACCACAGCCAAGAATTCTAGGCTGGACATAAGCACAGGAACAGCTACTTTGAGAACTTGGTTCTGTTATTTTAGGTCAGGCATCCCCAAACTCAGCCCTCCAGATGTTTGGGGTCTACAACTCCCATCATCCCTAGCTAACAGGATCAGTGGTCAGGGATGATGGGGATTGTAGTCCCAAAACATCTGGAGGGCCAAGTTTGGGGATGCCTGTTTTAGGTGATCAACCCTTAAGGTGCAGGAAAGACTGGCTCACTTCTTGAGGTCACCTTAAAGTCAAGGATGCCAATTGTTGAAGTCCAACAATACCTGGAGAGTTCCTCACCTCTGCCTTTACGTTATATACCAAAAGAGTATTCATTACTGGAGGTCAGGGGACGTTAAACACTTAAGAATTTTGAACAAGACTACCTCTCTCAGTTGGTGTATTGGCACTGGTAAAGAGTTAAACGCCTGCCTGGGCTCTGTCAGCACTGTTTCTTTAAAAAAATATTCTGGTGGATCTAGTGTAAATGAAGAAAATAGTTCAGAATAAAATGATTTACCATGCCTTTCCTAACACCAAATCACTTCCATTGGCAGTTCAGAAGCAATGTCCATTCTTCAAGATGCTCCAGCTTGTTGTCTGCCTCTTCTCAAGTTCACAGAGATCTACGAGAAAAAGTAGGTCTGAAAACGGCATGCCAAATTACTTAAGAAATCTGGTATATTCATAACTCACTACTTTTATGATAGTAGTTTTAGAATGAGTTCTCTATACCAGGAGTAGGGCATGACCTCTCCTCCCCCACTTCCACTTCATTAAAGTTTCCAAATATTCTGTTTTTTTAGGTTTGGACACAAGTTAAATGTATCAGACTTGTATAAAATAACAGACGTCGTAGCCATCCGCGATCAAGGCAATGGAAGACTTGTATGTCTTTTACCCAGTAGTCAAGCTAGACAGAGCCCTTTGGGGTCTTCACAGTCTCATGATGGCTCTTCAGCTAACTGTAGTCCTATCATATTTGAAGAACTAGAATATCATGAGCCCATTTGCAAGCAGCACTGCATTAATAAAGATTTCAGGTAAGAGGTGTTTTTCAGATCCTTCCAACTTTCTCTGTAAGTGAACTCTGGAATTGAAATTGGAGCATTTTTATATACTTTATATTCTGCCCTCCAGTGGTTCCTGGGGTAATACATAATAATATGTTGAGATACACAAATCAGTATGAGAAATGCAACAACAGCAATATAAAATAGATTAGAATCTCAAGAAACTGAATCTTTTCAGCCCAAACCATAAGTTTGGGGAAATGACCACATCTTAATCTGATGTCTTAAAACAGAGATCCAGCAGTCCCTGGCATTATAAGGAGGAAGTTCCATAACTTTGCAAGTGTTTGGGGTTGTTGGGTTTTTAAGGGAATATCTCTACAGAACTGTCCGGCATATATTACTCTCCTTTAATAGCTGTGAAGCATCATTATCTATGGAGTTACATCAGCTTCTTGAACCGTATAAGATCTTTGAAAGATGGCAAATCCATGCCCATGTGGAAGAACCACTAATCTGCTTTGGTTATACCATAGCGATGACTCCAGTTTAGACTAGTAGCTGTTGGCTGCAAAAGTCCCTAAGACAAATCTTCCACAGTAGCAAATTAAGAGTGGCAGCTTTCCAAAACTCTGGGCTGTATATATTCCTTTATTGCCTTACCGCAGTATAAAACTGTTCAATGTTTTCTTATTTCTCTAGCGAACATGACTTTGATCCTGACTCCTACAAAGTTCCCTTTGTGATTTTGTCTCTTAAGACCTTTGCACCGCAAGTTCATAGCTTGTTGCAGACCCACGAGGGGACAGTGCCGTTACTGAGGTAAAATAAGGTTCCTTAGCCTTTGTTTGAATGTTCAGTAATGAGCTGGGTTAAATCCCCCCTTTTTTACCCCTGAAGTGAAAGGGGATCCTTGGATAGATTGCTCCACCAACTCCCTCCACTAGGCAAGTTAGAAATGGTTCATCACTAAGAGAAACCACCTCCTCCAGGCCCCATTCCACTTGAGTGTCTCTGTAGTTAAGATTCTGAGCTCTCTTAAGCATAATAATATATATACATTTTTTTAAAAAATCCAAATTCAAGATTAAATAATTAAATATTAAAACACGCCAAAAGTCAGGTCCGTCTGCTTTGTGACCCCCAATAGTGCTGGTCACAGGTGAGAGGTGAAATTCTGTGCAGGACAAAAAAGCCATCCTCCCTTTAGGCTACTTGGAATCATTCTCATTGCTTAACTCCTCCTCCCCTTCATTGGTTTTCTCTGACTCCTCACATTGAGGGTTACCTTGGTTGCTGAAGGGGCTCCGAGTGACAAGAGAAGTCTGTATTAAATGCTGGCTGTATTTGGACAATTGTATTCTGCAGAGATGCTATCTTCCAAAGACGTGTTCTGAATTCTGCTCTTGCACAATACAAATACATAACCGCAGAGCACATACTGCCTAGTTCAGAACAATCTGAATATTAATATTTGTCTTCAGCATGTAAGAAACTGCAGATAACTAATTTTGAATTGCCGCCTATCTTTACATTTTCTTTCTTATCTCTGATCTGCAGATACTTTCCTCTTGACTAAGTTTCTGGTAGTGTCCTTTATTCCATGCTTGTGCCCTTTCTTTCCTCCCTCTCTTGCCATCCACACTGCTCCCTTCAGTTGTTTTAAGGAGAGTTTGAGAACACACGTCTCGATTTCTAGATGTATCCTATGTGCCACGGAGCCTCGATGCCCTTTGTAGGAGTTGCTGTTGCAATTCACTGTAGCTGAGCAGTGTATGTGTTGTTGAATTCTAACACACAAGGATGTGTGCTTGTGGTCTTGAGATCAAGACTCTTATGGGAGGTTAAGCATGCAGACAGAGGCATTAGATGTTACTTATCTAAAGCTCAGTTGGTTTAGTGTCAGAGGACTTCATCTGGTGGCAAGAAGTGAAATGATTCATCCATTTCATGGACATGTATCCCGTGAATGCTGCAAAATCACACAAGCTGGCTTTTTCAAGTAATGAATCATGAAAAAACTCCCAAGTTCAATCCCTGGCATCTCCAAGGAATCATAGCAATGTCCCCTGTCTGAAACCCTGGAGAGCTCCTGCCAGTCAGTGGAGACAATACCAACCTAGATAGACTACTCTCTTGACTTTCCTAAATGTGCAGCAACTGTCTTTGTGATCCTTAGGTAATAAAATGCATAGCACCATCTGCTGACCTACAGCAACTCTGCAGCAGTTTTTCCAGACCCATGTCTCCAGTTCCAAATTCCTAGATTGCTGTCGGGTAGTCAGCTGTAGGTTGCGTCAAATTAAGGTCATGACAGCAAGTCACCTTTAATATGAACCTGCTTTTCTTACTTGCAGTGTAAACAGAGACTTGCTAATGCTTGTTTGCATCTGTTTTGCTACAAGATTGACCAAAGGTTTCTTTACAAGCAAGCAGTCTCGTCTAACGCTTTTTATATTATGTTGGTCTCAATTGCAGCTTTCCTGACTGCTATGCTTCAGAATTCAGCAATCTGCAAATGGTGCAGGAAGGCCAGGGAGGTGTTCCTCTGGAGCATCTCATCACTTGCGTCCCTGGTGTGAATATTGCCACTGCACAAAACGGCATCAAAGTTGTCAAGTGGATTCATAACAAGCCACCACCTCCCACTGCAGGTGCATATTTCACTCTCTTATGCATCAGTCTTTTGTGTTAGTTTCTTGCTTCTAACATCAGTAGCGTGCAAATAAATCTGTTCCTTTGTGTGATTGATTTGCTTGGGAACTTGTGGTCCTCCAGATCTTGCTGGGTTACAACTCCTGTCATCGCTAGCTAATGACCATGCTGGTTGGGGCTGATGGGAGTTGGGAGTCCAGCAGCTTTTGGAGGGTCACAGGTTCCCTATTCCTGACATAGGATATAACCTAGAATTTAGATACGGGATAACCAGCATGGTGCCTGCGTGCACCAGTATGTTGCCAGAGGGCTGCCGCAGTGCCTCCCAGGCTATCTGCTGCACCAGATTACAAGAAAAGAGGATGAAAATGCTCTCTCTGTGCCCCTTCAGTTGCTAACAGTTCCTTAATAAGTCTTTGCTAAACATGCCCACTTCCATGATGGGGCTTTGAACTGGCTGGACAGGGGAGAGGAGGATCATTGTTGACTGAGCTATGCATGTATGCACATGGAGTAGAGAAGAAAAGAAGGAAAGATGGAGTGATTTTGGGGAGGAGAGAGACACAAAGTGGGGTGGATGGAGCCTTGAGGGGAGCAAAAAGAGGACAGGTATGCTCATGGCAGGAAGAGAGGATGAGAACTGTATTTGATGGATGGGGTGTGGGAGGCATGTATGGAGAGAGTACCAAGGGGAGGTGGGAGTATTCATGAAAGAGATTGGGGGTGTGAGGGGGTTTTTTTAAGAGATGACTTGCTGCCTTCTGGGTGTTCTGTTGGACAGATGAGTGGTTTTGATTCTAGGGTTCAGATTATGACTTCCATTCCATTCCTTGAGCAAGCTTTGCCTTTCAAATGACCATTCAGCTTGCAACAGAAAACAAAATAGTAGCTGTGTGTTCTGGAATTCAGACCCCAGTTCTGTGAGGGAAGGAAAATTCCCACTCAATGCCTGAAACCTCTTTTGGACATACCAAGTTTGTCTCTCTGGAATTCCAGCCACAGTTCATATTTTTGCTTTGTTGTGACACGAGCTTGTCTTCAGATAGTGGCCTTTTTCTTTTTGTGACTTTGTAATTAGATTTTAGTCTGTAGAGACGTGATACTTCCCCCAAATCCATGGTGTTTCTGTTCTGATTTACTCCTAGTTTTGCCTGTAGTTTTCATCGTACGTATTCCATTTATGTCCCTTACCTCCTAAGCCAGAGAGTTCTTGTTGTCCCCCCGCCCCCATTTTTAGAGCCATGGATTCTACGTTCTACAAGCCCTGTGGGTAACCCACAACTTATTCAGTTCAGCAGAGAAGTGATTGATCTCCTTAAAAACCAGCCGTCGTGTATCATGCCTGTCAGTAAATTCATCCCAACATACCATCACCATTTTGCAAAGCAATGTCGTGTGTCTGACTATGGGTGTTCCAAGTTAATGGAGTTGCTGGAAGCGGTGCCTCATGTGTTGCAGGTGAGTTCAGTCTCAATTTTATTGAAGTGCATGTTTCCATGAGTGATGAGTATCAGTTCACATAAAAGGCTAGCTTTAACTGCAGTAAAAATCCTCATTTTGAAGTTAAGGGTGGTGTGTCAGGATAACAGCGGTGAAGAAGAGTTCTCTGGTGCCTTCCACAGTCTCCAGGGATATTGTAGATCCCCTCTTTAAGAAGCTGGTGTTGAAATTTAATTTACACAGGACAAGCAAGGTCCTGCTTTTACATTGCCGATTGTTTGGAAGGGATTCTCTTACCCTTAATCTTTTGGTATGTAGCTTTACTGCTGTGACCCAGGACATCAAGGGCATTTGCATCTGTCCAGGTTGCATGCCAGAAGATGATATTGGCAGCTCTATTCCAATATGTATCCTATGTTGGCTATTGCCCACCACCTGGAAAGCTTTCCCATCGCCTCACCTTGCCAGTTGTCTTCTCAAGCTGCTTAATGGCTGTTGAAGTTAACAGGGCACCAGCCCTGTCTGGTACCCTCCACACATTGTTGGGCTCCCAGCTCCCATCACCCTTGGCCAGAATGGCCTATGGTCAACCTGTAGCCCAAAACACATCTGCCATGTGTCATGAACTGCTTGGGCACAGAGAAATGGTCAGAGGAACCTGCTGGGGAACCCCCAAGGGAAGAAGGCTCAGAGCCTGGGGAGTGTTGGGAGAGGGAGAAGACTGGGAAGAGGAGGGCAAGAGGTAACAGGGATTCAGCCCTTGAGCCATGTGTTGGACCCCCTTGTTTTAAATAAGTAAGCCTTTTGCCAATACCTGCCACTGTTTGTTAATATTAATTTGACTTCTTACCTGTCCCAGAGGGGTTCCTACAATGTAAAAATACAGTGCCAAGTTTGACTGCAAGAGTTGCTTTACTGGACAATGTGGAGATCCAGGGAAATGTCATTACTGGTGTGAAGAAGCAATAGGGGCCAAGCTTGGTGTGCAGATACTTATTCTCATGGCATGCGGCTGTAAATAAGCTCAGATGCGGCAGTGTTTTGACTGTGGGAGTCACATACTTCATCTAAAATGTGGTGTCTTTTTCCTTCCAGATTCTCGGGATAGGCACCAAGCGTTTGTTAACCTTAACGCATAGGGCCCAAGTGAAGCGATTTACTCAAGACCTGTTTAAGCTTCTCAAGTCCCAGGCCAGCAAGCAAGTGGTTGTGAGGGAGTTCTTTCAAGCTTATCATTGGTACGTAAAGAGAACTTTGGCCTGTGCATAGCCTGTGTTTACACATTGACACTTCAAAGCTTTTTTTAAAATGAAAAAAATGAAAGACTTTGAGCTTCAGGGAAGTAACATTTCCCCTTCGAAGGGGAAGGAGCAGCTTTCTCCTTTCCAAAGTCAGAATCTGAGGAGCAGAAACAAAAGCCAAGTTGAGAAGGAAGGATGTGGGGGGGGGGTGGTAAAAAATGGCTGATGTTAAATCTTATGAAGTTGGCCAATCCTAAAGGCAGGCAGGATGATGCACTTGGTGGTTTGCTGTGTGGATTCAGGGGGCACACAAACTTTGGCTTGTTAACCACGACCTACTCTTCCCTTCCTGGGTCCTCTGATATGTTTAAAGAATGCCCAGGAATGGGGCAGGATTTTCCCTCGCACTAAAGTTTTCCAGAAGTTCTGTTGCAAACTTGCAATAGAGAAGGAGAAATCTTGAGAACTTTCTGATCGAAAGTCTGAAATGTCTAGAGAAACACTTAATGATACTGATTTTTAAACCCCAGCAATGCTCCTAAGTTTTACTCAAAGTAGACCCATTGACATTGATGAACTTACTCATCTTCATTAACTTCAGTGGGTCTAATTCTGAGTTGAACACTTCCCGTTGCCTCTCATATTATTCATATCTTCATGTGGAGATGGTAGCAATGGAAAAGGTGCTGGATTGTGCCTTTTTCTGTTCTCGTTTACCCTAAATACCTTTAATGTGAATTTCTTTCCCTTATTTTCTGGACCTCCTCATACCTCCCTCTTTTGTATTCCAGTTCAATTTGTATGTCCAGCAATTTCTTTCCCTCTTTTTAATCCCAATCCTTAATCTTAATATAACATAACATTACATTTTTACCTCTTAAAAGCCAAATTTCCATTTCCTTTATCTTTTTAATCCTAATCCTTAATCTTGATCTATATATAACTTTAAAACCTGTATAGCTAGAAGCCACTTATTTTCAGTCCAACATCACTCTAACATTCTTTAATTTTGCAATGTTTCTGCAAATAATCTTTGAATTTCTTCCAATCTTCCTCCACCGACTCTTCTCCCTGGTCACGGATTCTACCAGTCATTTCCGCCAGTTCCATATAGTCCATCAGTTTCATCTGCCATTCCTCCAGTGTGGGTAGTTCTTGTGTCTTCCAATACTTTGCGATGAGTATTCTTGCTGCTGTTGTTGCGTACATAAAGAAAGTTCTATCCTTTTTAACACCGTTTGGCCGACTATGCCCAGGAGAAAGGCCTCTGGTTTCTTCAGGAGGGTATATTTAAATACCTTTTTTAATTCATTATATATCATTTCCCAGAAAGCCTTAATCTTTGGGCACGTCCACCAAAGGTGAAAAAATGTGCCTTCAGTTTCTTTACATTTCCAACATTTATTATCGGGCAAATGATAGATTTTTGCAAGCTTGACTGGGGTTATGTACCACCTGTATATCATTTTCATAATATTCTCTCTTAAGGCATTACATGCCGTAAATTTCATACCAGTGGTCCATAACTGTTCCCAGTCAGCGAACATAATGTTATGTCCAACGTCTTGTGCCCATTTAATCATAGCAGATTTTACCGTTTCATCCTGGGTGTTCCATTTTAGCAGCAAGTTATACATTCTTGACAAATTTTTAGTTTTGGGTTCTAACAGTTCAGTTTCTAATTTTGATTTTTCCACCTGGAAGCCAATTTTCTTGTCCAATTTAAATGCCTCCATTATCTGAAAATAATGAAGCCAGTCTCGCACTTTGTTTTTAGTTTTTCAAAACTCTGCAATTTCAGTCTATCTCCATCTTGTTCCAAAATTTCCCAATATTTCGGCCATTTGACCTCCATATTGAGCTTTTTCAAGGCTTTCGCTTCCATTGGTGACAGCCACCTTGGAGTTTTGTTTTCTAATAAATCCTTATATCTTATCCAAACATTAAACAGCGCTTTCCTGACAATATGGTTTTTAAATGCTTTATGTGCTTTGACCTTATCATACCACAAATATGCATGCCATCCAAATACATTGTTAAAACCTTCTAGGTCCAAAATGTCAGTGTTTTCAAGAAGCAGCCATTCTTTCAACCAGCAAAAAGCTGCTGATTCATAATAAAGTTTAAGGTCTGGCAGGGCAAATCCACCTCTTTCCTTTGCATCCGTTAATATTTTAAATTTTATTCTAGGCTTCTTGCCCTGCCAGACAAATCTAGAAATGTCTTTCTGCCACCTCTTGAAACAATCCATTTTGTCCACAATTTGCAATGTTTGAAATAAAAACAACATTCTAGGCAATACATTCATTTTTATCGCAGCGATACGGCCCAGCAGTGAAAGCTTCAAATTTGACCAAATTTCTAAATCTTTTTTCACTTCAGGCCAACATTTTTCATAATTATCTTTAAATAGATTCCCATTTTTTGCTGTCATGATAATCCCCAGGTATTTCACTTTCTTAACCACTGTTAAACCTGTCGCATTCTGAAACCTCTCTTTCTCCATTGGTGTTAGATTTTTCTCTAGAACCTTAGTTTTTACCTTGTTCAATTTAAATCCTGCAACTTGACCAAATTCTTGAATCAGTTCTAAAACTCTTTTAGTACTAGATTCTGGCTCCTGTAACGTCAATACTAAATCATCTGCAAATGCTCTCAATTTGTACTGTTTAGCTCCGACCTGTATACCTTTAACCAACTGGTCCCTTCTAATCATGTTCAGCAAAACCTCCAGGACCGAAATAAAAGGAGTGGGAAATTGGGCAACCTTGTCGTGTCCCTTTTTCAATTTTAAGTTCTTCCGTCACCACATTATTTACAATTAATTTAGCCTTTTGTTCTGAATAAATTGCACTTATACCATTCTCAAAGCCTTGGCCTACCCCCATGCCCTGTAGATTCTTCTTCATAAAGTTCCAAGAAATGTTGTCAAAGGCTTTCTCCGCATCCACAAATATCAAAACTGCTTTAGTGTTTATGTTCACTTCTAGTTTTTCCAGAATATCAATTATATTCCTCAAATTGTCAGACAGATGTCTTCCTGGGAGAAAGCCCGCTTGGTCTTTATGAATCTCTTCCATCAACACTTTTTAAATCTCTTGGCCAAAATGTCAGCAAAAATTTTGTAATCCACATTAAGTAATGATATAGGGCGGTAGTTCTTAAGCTGTGTCTTTTCAGTCTCTGTTTTCGGTACAAGTGTAATATATGCTTCTTTCCACGACTCTGGTGCTCTTTTCCCCTCCATTATTTCATTGCAGACCTCTTTCAAAGGTTGTATTAACCATTCTTTCAAGGATCTATAGTATCTAGATGTCAAACCATCTGGTCCTGGAGATTTACCCAATTGCATATTTTGAATGGCACCTTCTATTTCCTGTTCAGTTATTTTGTAATTCAAAATTAGTTTATTTTCTTGAGATATTTTTGTAATCCATTTGTTTTCAAAAATTGATCTAAGTCTGTTTCTTTCAATGGCCCTTGGGTATATAATCGTTTAAAGTACCTCTGGAAACAATTTCTAATCTCTGCAGGGTTCTGTATATTTCTTCCTTCCACTTCTAAGTTCGTGACTGTATTTAGTTTTTGTCTCTTTTTCATTTGCCAAGCCAACAATTTACCACATTTATTAGCCGACTCAAATGTCTTTTGTCTCATTTGTTTAATTTTCCATTCTATTTCCTGATTCATCATTTTCATATATTGTACTTGATATAACTTTAACTCTCTCAAAATCTCTTGAGATTTTGGATTTACTCTCAGTCTTTTTTCACTTTCCTTTATTTTATCCAATATCTTATCCTTCTTCTCATTTTGAGTTCTTTTCTTTACTGCATTCTGTTGTATTAGGAACCCTCTCATAACCGCTTTACTTGCGTCCCAGATTACTCTTTTCTCCACATTGGTACTCAAATTTATCTCAAAATAGTCTTTCAAAGTTTTTTGGGCCTTCTTAAGTACTTCTTCATCTCTAAATAAGGTGTCATTCATCTTCCATCTAAAGGAGCCAGTTGGTGTTAGTCTCATTTCCATCTTGACAGCATTGTGATCGGAACAAGTTTTCGGGCAGATTTCCACCTTTCTTGTCTTTGGTGCCATTCCTCTAGTTATCCAAATTTGGTCAATTCTTGTCCATGTCATTTTGGCTTCAGAAAAGAAGGTTCCCTCTTTAGCCATGGGGTTTCTTATTCTCCAAATATCAACTAAGTCCAAGTTGTCTGTCATGTCAAAAAAGGTTTTCGGTAGTCTACCATCCTTAGTGACTACCTGTCTTTGTGCCTTGTCCATATATGTAGATACCACTCCATTCATGTCTCCCATCAAAATCATGTTGTAATCCAAATGGTCCATCAGGGTCTCGTGCAACTTCTTAAAAATTCAGATTTCCCATCATTTGGTGCGTAGATTCCTACTATCAAAAATTTTTCTCCTTGTGTTTGAATTTCAATTGCCACAAATCTTCCTTGGTCATCTTTAAAAACAAATTTCGGTGATAGTCTGTCCTTTGCATAAATCACAACCCTCTTTTTTAACTTTGTCCGATGAAATAAACTCCTGACCAAGTCTTTTATTTATCAACAATTTCCTGTGTAATCTTGTTATATGTGTTTCTTGTAGACAAATCAAATCCAATTGTTCCTTTTTTAATAAATGAAACACTAATGTGAATTTCTTTCCATCCCATTATCTAGGTGCTTCTCAAAAGACTGGGACGTGACGGAATACGGAGTGTGTGAGTTGGTGGACCTCATATCAGAAATTCCAGACACAACAATCTGTTTGTCTATGCAAGATAATGAGATGGTAATTTGTATCCCCAAAAGAGGTACATCCTCATTTTAGGAACTTAACCCTCTTCCTTTTTTTTTTTTTAACACACAGGTCAGACTATAGTTGGTGCCCTGGTGACAGGTATACTTTTGGCTTTTTTGTGAATGAATTGAAGTTTATGGTGAGCAGCAGGTAGAGACTTGGAGCTGTGTTTTGAATGGGGAATTCATATATCCTTTTATTTAAAGAAAAGATCACAAGGTAGTTTACATGTAAATACAAACAGAACAGAATGCAATTTAAACAAAAGATTGATATCCAAACTCTCTAAAAAGCTGCAGAGAATGAAGAGCATTTTTGCATGACACCTAAAGAACATAAGAGCCTCCCTGGCCAAGGGTTCTATTCCCACGGGTGCCTTGAGCCTTAAGAGTAAAGATGCTTATGACCTGATGCAAAATAAAAGTTATATATTGCTGTCATTCTGTTTCATACCTCTTTTCACCATTAAGTCCCAGGACAGGTTGTAGCAATTTGAAAACAAAGTGTTAGAAGTCAATTTTGAAAAATGATAATAATCAGTTCCTAAAAATTCAGAATGTGTCTTGAGAAGCATAGTGGCCAGGCAGCACTCTGCCCACCTATGATTCCCAGCCACTGGTTTTCAGAGACATAACGCTTCTGACCGTGGAGGTGAAGCAGAGCTAACTGTGGCTAGTAGCTGCTGTGTTCTGGAGAGCGCTCCTTTAAACTAGTAGTTGAGCTGGAATAGAAGTTGCTGGGAGAGTGCTAAAGTATTGGTCTTGTTGCTTTTACTTTCCCTTAGTTTTGCATCTCTTCTCTCGTTTTCAGAACGTACCAAGGAAGAAGTTGAAAGGACAAAGCAGTTCTCCAAGGAGGCAGTGGACTTGTTGCGCCACCAGCCCTATTTTCGCATGCCTTTCAATAAATTTATCCCATTCTATCACCACCACTTTGGGCGCCAGTGCAGACTTGCCTATTATGGATTTACCAAACTACTTGAACTCTTCGAAGCCATACCAGATGTCCTGCAGGTAGGATCCAGATACTCTGGGGTCCTCGTGCATCCACACCAAATAACCTTTCTAGCCTTATTGAGTTGTGCTCAGTGTTTGGGGGAAACTCCTGTTGCCTGTAGAACTGAGCCTTGTTTTTAGAGTGATTACTGGGTGCTATTGCACTTACATGGGCAAACTTTGAAAGTAAACCACCTTTTTAAAAAGCCATTCAACTGTTTGTGTTAACAATTGGCAGGGAAAACTTATTAATTAATGGTATTAAAATTCATGGTATTTCAACACCTCCTGGAAAGAATTACAAGTGAGAGGGGGGGGAGCCTTCATATTGCTAATACAGTCAAACCTCATTCTGTGTCCGCCTCTGCTTCGGCGAACGTCCGTGGCAAACCCGGAAGTACTGGAATGGCTTGCTTCCAGGTTCACCGCATGCACAGAAGCGGCACTTCAATGTGCATCATTTTTGGGTTGCGGCAGGGCCTCCAGAACGGATCCCTGCCGTAACCCGAGGTTCCACTGTGCTCCATTTGTGCATTGTAAGTACTGCCTTCCCCAGCCCCTGCCTAAATATTTCCATTAACCAAGCTGACTTCTGCCCTCAGGTGCTGGAATGTGGTGAAGAGAAAATCCTTGCACTAACAGATGCGGAAAAGGTCAAGGCTTTAGCTGCCCAGTTTGTTAAATTGCTCCGATCTCAGAGAGACAAATGCCTTATGATGGCAGATGTGCTCACTGAATACGCTAAAACATTTGGCTACCCGTTGCGTCTCCAGGACTACGATGTTGGCTCTGTTCCAGCTCTGATGCAGAAACTTTGCCATGCTATCAAGGTATATTTTAGCACGACTTGGCATGGCAAATGTAGATTTCGTTGGGACTGAGGGAGGGGCGTAGAGAGGGAGAGAGCTGTGTTGCTCATATGCATGATGAAAAATAATACCAAGTTCTTAAATGACTGGTACTTCTCTCTGCGTAAAGTGCAGCGTAAACAATATGGATGGTGTGTTTTTTAAAGAACTCGTGTTCGTTTTCAGTATAATTGGATCACTAGAGAAACCCAAGAATCTCATTTAGAATAAGTTACTAATAAATTCCCCCTGTCCCTAGCAGAAATGATCACAGCCTCAGGGGCACACAGCAGAATGGAAGATTAAGTGACAGGAAGCTGGTGCTTTGTCAAAAGTTATGAGATTCTTGGGTTTCTCTGAGATTCTTGGGTTTTGGTTAATCCATTAAAACAGCCATTGGTTGCAGCAGATTTTAAAGACAAAGCTACTTCGCTATGATTTGTAGCTACACGTTCTTCCAAGGAGGGCTGGGGGTTATGTTGGAAGCAGCTGGAAGTGTCCAGAGAAAGGGCCTTTGCGGCAGTGGCGCCCTGATTATGGAATATTTCCTCCCACCCTGGCTTGCTGGGAACAAAGTTATGGTCCTTTCTGTGCCAGGTGAAGATTTCTCATTTTAAGATCATTCTAAGATCTTCACATCTTTTAGTTCTGCTTTGTTAATGTGTGATTCACTCTGGTTGTTTTTCGTTTAGTTTTTCTTTTTTCCTACTGTGGTTTTGCTGTTTCAATTTAATGCTCTTGTCTGCCTTTTATGGGTTTTTATTTTTATTGTTAGGCACCCAGGGGACATTGTTAATTGGGTTATATATAGGTGATGTAAATAAAACAGTGTGCAGAATGCTGCTTAAAGCTGACTGCTAAACAGCAAGATCCCTTCTTAAAGCTGCAGTGTGTTAGCAGCTTTTGCCTTGCGCATCGGTGTAACTGGATTTCCCCACCCACCACCATTTTTATTCAAACTCCTCCAGGTCGTTGATGTAGAATCTGGTAAGCAGCTCCAGCTTATAAATAAAAAGTCTCTCCGGACCTTGGCTACCCAGCTTCTGGTGCTTCTGATGACCTTGGATGAAACCAACTTTGTTTCTGTGGAAGAGCTTAAAAGGCATTATGAATCCACCCAGGGCGCTCTCCTGAATCCATGTGAATATGGCTTCATGACGTTTACTGAACTCTTGATGAGCGTGCCTTATCTCACAGAGGTAAGGGAGTCGATGGCTTGGCTCCTAATGCCCAGCGTAGCACTTGTTTGCTATGCTGGGCTCTGTTTTCCTTTCTTTATGAATGCAGAAGCATAGCATGGGTTGCCAGCACCCGGGGTGGGCAAACCACAAATGCCGCAGGAGCACTCCTGCCACCGAAGTGAAGCCGGGCCGTGCTGTGTGGGGAGCCCTACCAGCTGACATGGCCCTTGGAAGGCAAATCCTCCCAACATCCATGGAGAGGAGCGTTGGGCTGTGCTGGGGTTGCCCCTTGACCACCTCCCTCCATCCGCAACCGCTCACCATGGGCCTGGGCTACCCCGCTGCCTTTGCCAGGGTGGGGCAGGGATCCCCCCACAGAAGCCAGCACCTGTGGGGGGGTGCCTGGTTGCACTCCCCCAGAAATTTGTGCCTGGGGCCACAGCTTCGTCCCCATGCTACGCCACTGGTCTTGGGTCACATCTGCACTGTAAGCTTAAAGCACTATGATACTACTATAACAGCCAAGGCTTCCTCCAAGGAATCCTGGGGGCTGTAGTTTCCTCTCACAGAGCTGCAACTCTGAGTAGTTTAACAGTCAGGCTCTCTTCCTAGGGACCTCGGAATTGTAGCTCTGTGGAGGGAGTAGGGGGAGTCTCTTAATAACTCTCAGCACCCTTAACAAACTACAGTTCCCAGGGTTCTTTGTGGTAAGCCATAACTTAAATTGACATAGAGCTTTAAATGTATGGTGTGGATGTGGCCTCACTTTGGTTATTAATTAGTGATTCAGGGCCTAAAATAAGCTATTATAACGGAAAGCAAGGCAATTGAGCAATTGCTGACTAGAGGCCAGGAAACCCAAGGTCACAGTCAAAGAGATAAATGGAGGAGAGTAACGTTAGTGGAGAAGGAGTAACAGCAAATGTGGAGGAGTTGTTGAAGGTACTTTGAGGTTTTGTGGTGGTGCTGACATACATTAACGGCCTATTAAATTAAATGAAGCCGCTTTAAACCAGACCAGGCTATTCACCGTAGGAAGCTGCCTTATGAGTCAAGCTATTGGTCCATCTAGCCCAGAATTACCTAGACAGACTGGCAGCAGCTCTCCAGAGTTCCAGGCAGTTCCATCTCTCTACCCTACCTGGAGATTCCAGGGATTGAACCTGGCACCTTCTGCATAGAAGGCAGTGCCCTACAGCTGAGCTACGGCCTTTCACCCATTTAGTTCAGTATAGTCTTGGCTGGCAACAGGTTTTCAAAGTTTCAGGCGGTGGACCATTCCCGTTCCCTGCTTACATCTGGAGATGTCAGGGATTGAACCTCTGCCCACTGGGCTTCGATTAGCCTTTCGGGAGCAGGTGTGAAAGCTCAAGTTAACAGGCAGCATTAAAAACAAGGAGAAATAAAATTGGACAGCAGAAGAGTCAGCTGAGAAAAACAGACAGCTATTGTATGTGCAGACAAGGATTCAGTTTGTGGACATAGAAGACAGATCAAAGGAAGAGAAGGAAGGGTCCCTGTGGATTAGGAATCTCTCTTTGCAGCTGCTGCTGCTGCTGCTGCTGCTTAGTTCTAAGTGCAGAGACTTGTTCCCTCGGTTTCCTATCCACAATCCATTACGCCGTACCCTGAACAGAGTGCCTTGTTATATTGCCCTTCAGTATGTGGCCTCCAACAACTGGAAGAAACTTAAGGTTGTTCCTTCCAGTACAAGGGGCAGGGTGACCTGGACTCAAAGCTGCTGATCATTTACTGTACCTTGAGAGGAAGTGACAGCAACTGGATTTGCGTACAGCCTCTGCTGGCCAGGGTCTGTTACATTTTATTTTTCTAGGCAGTATCTCAAGGCCCATTATAATATAAGGCAGTGTTTAAAGAAAAAGGATTTAAAAAATAGAAAACACCATAAAACTAAAGCATTATATTCATTTAAAATGAACCGTAGAAATTAATCAGGAACAGAAATTCATAAAATTTAGATAGATAAACACACACACAGTTTGTTGTTGTTTTTAAAGTGACAATGATGGGACCATGTGAATCTATTTTTATTGGTGGGGAGGGAGGGGTTTGCAATAATGTGGAGCCACCATTGTAAAAGCCCCAAACCTGGTACCTTCAGCACCTCTCATCTATAGCGGGACCTTGGACATTGATCTTAACACCCAAGCTGGTTCACAGAGGTGTGGGCAGTCCTTCAAAAAACCAAGTTGTTTTGGACTTCAGAGGTCAAAACCAGCACTTGAAGTTGGGCCCAGAAATGGGGAAATACATTCCATTTGTTTGGCCTGCTCCACAAACATTCTGTAACAGTTGAAGATTCTGAGCTGTTTCCAAGCCCCACATAGAGTGCCTTGCAGTATTATTATAATTATTTATTAAATTTGTATATCCCCTTCCTTCATGAGAAGATACAAGGGCGCTTCTCATGATAAAACTACAGGCTAAAAGCACAAAATAAATAGCCCAAAACAAAAAAAAATTGCCACCAGCCCCCAGATTTAAAAGGATGTAGAATCAGCCAAAGGAACTTTTTTGCCTGGCATTTAATGATGTATAATGAAGGCGTCACCAAACCTTCCTGGGGAAAGCATTCCACAAATGCCCCCTGTAGAAAATAATAATAATAATAATAAATAATAATATAAATTTTATTTATATCCCGCCCTCCCCAGCTGAAGTCGGGCTCAGGGCGGCTAACAACAATAAAACAGTACAAAAATACAGCACAAACAACACTCTAAAATCATTCATTATAAAATTAATTAATTCAAGCCACTGGCACCCATTGGGCCAGAGCTCCGCGAAGATTGCCGAGGGAGGGAGTCAGGCTGTGCCCTGGCCAAAGGCCTGGTGGAACAGCTCTGTCTTGCAGGCCCTGCGGAAAGATGTCAAGTCCCGCAGGGCCCTGGTCTCTTGTGACAGAGCGTTCCACCAGATCGTCCTCATGTTGCCACCCTCTGGACTCGAAGAGGCACACAAATAATGACCTCAGATGATAACCGTAGAGTCCAGGTCGCTTTATATTCCAGCCTTAATGTAACTGAAGTGAGGCTTTCGGGCGTTCTCAAGGGAGGATTGCAGCCGGTGACCCACATGAAGCTTTTCATTACGGCTTCTTGCATATACAAAACTACCTAATGTTTTAGTAACTGTATCACGTGTGTTGGATTTGTTTTTAAGTGCAACTCCAAACCGAATTGCAATTAAAATGAAGAGCGGGGTAAAAAATGTGTTCAGGGATGTTCTTTTATTAAATACTCTGCAATGCCCAAAGGTCGGAAGACTTCATATGCATGGTTTTCCCTCCCACAGGTTTTTGTTGATGGTGAGGCAGAATATGTCAAGCTCACAAGCCTTTATGTTTTTGCCAAGAAAGTGAGGTCTTTGCTTCATACCTACCATTACCAGCAGATCTTCTTTCATGAGTTCTCAACAGCTTATAGCAAATACACAGGTGAAGTGTTGCAACCCAAAGCATATGGCTACAATAATCTCGAAGAACTCCTGGGAGCAATTCCACTGGTTTGTAGCAGTTGTGTTTTTCTTTTTAGCAGTAGTACTTAATTGAATCCGTAGGTCCCCATGTGCAGTTTAATCGGTGCTTTTTAATATAGATGAGCTCTTGCGAAGTCAGGCAGGTGATTTGAAGACTAGGATTGCCTGGCTTTGTGCTGTGAGCCCTCCTCAATTCAAAAGGGAGGAGAAACTGGGAAATGGGATTTTCCACAGCTTCAGAACGTTCAGATATTTTACATTTCTAAATGTTCGCCATTTAAACAAGCGCTAAGCAAGCCCCACCCCAACCTCTTGCACTCAATGCTTCCACCTTCAGCACAGAGGTCTTAAAAAGATATTTTAAGCATTCAGATGAGAATGCTTTGAAACCTCCAGTTGGGAGTGTTCCTGCTGTGCAGAACCATGGAGAAAAGTCTTAAGTTCATTCTTTTGAATGTGCTTAGAACAGAGGCTTTCAACCTTTTTGAGTCCACGGCTCCCTCGATCAACTACAGTCTTTCTGCGGCACCCCTGTGGGGCTCAGGAGCCCAGTTATGTCACCCCTTGCCTGCAGAGCTGGCAGCCTCTCACCTTTTTCGAACACCCTTGTGGAGTGTTCCCTCAGCCTCCTCGCCCCTCTCCTTGGGAGTCCTCCAGGCAACCGCTTCTGCCACCCATGCCCCAAAGAGAGGTGCCTCCTCACACTGCCCCACAGAGGCCTGGGAAGCACCCCATGGCCAAAGGCACCATTCACCTGGGGAGCTTGTAGCCAGGGCTGCTGCAACAAACATTTGTGCAGGCCTTTGGGAGGCAGAAAATGCAAGAGGGCATCAGAGGAGGGAGTGAAGGAAAGAGGGAACAGAGGCCAGTGTTGACCGTGGCACCCCTATCATTCAAGGTACCCCAGGGTGCCACGGCACACAGGTTGAAAACCACTGGCTTAGAACAAAGGTGAAGGACCTCTGTCCTGTGGGCCAGATTTGGGCCACCAGGCCTCGCCCCATTTGACGTGCGAAGCCATTCTGGGCATGTAAGGGAAGGACTTGGCCAAAAGGGACTTTGCAGATGCCGCCCTCTATGCAGTGCTTTCCTAGCAACCGGAAAGCGCTGAGCTCATGGTTTGGGAAGCACAGGACACTGGTTTGCGCAAGCCCTTTGAACTCTCTCCTCCCTCACCTTCATGGGGCCAACTTCAACAGGTACCAGTCACCTGGTGTCAGACGATAGGCAGGTGGGAGTGGGGCACCCTAACCCTACCCTGGCCTTTGAAACTTGGGATAAAATAATTTTTAGAACCCACCCTATTGCTGTAACTCCTAGTTTGTTTTAAATTGCTGTTAAACCTCCCCCGCCCCCATTGGGACCTTATAGTGGAGGGTAGGGAAGAAATCAAATAAATGATACGATCAAAGGACTCGTAATCCTTTCTTAGTTGACATTTTGCTAAGGCGGTAGCGGAGAGAATATTTAACAACTGTTGGAATCCGGCCTAATATTGAATGTAGTTAGCTACATTGAATGTAGGAATACCAGAAAAGAGAGAGAAGAAAAACAGTCAAAATAGAGAGTTTTGCTGAGTTCAGTCATCTTACTTCAAACATTGTCATTATTGCCTTCTAATTAGGTGGTCTGGATAAAAGGTCATGGTCATAAGAGAATTATTGTCCTTAAGAATGACATGAAAAGTAAGTAATCCCTGGTTAGAGATAACTTTTAAAAAAACAAATACTTGAATTACTGGTGAGCATATTTTCCCAAGGGAAGCATTGCTCACCATCTTCCCTTCTCATAGCTCGTTTTAGCTTGCCTGGCCTTCCTCTTGCCGATGGTGATGGACAAGCTACAGAGACAGCAGAAGCAAGTGAATCCTTGGAATTAAAACTAGAAGCATCAGATTCTGGTAATTGCTGTACATCAGGGGTCAGCAAACTTTTTTAGGAGGGGGCCGGTGCACCGCCCCTCAGACCTTGTGGCGGGCCGGACTGCGTGCACACACATGCACACGGCGGAGGGGGGCTTCTCTCACTCCCCCTCCCCCTGCTTTCCTACCTCCTCCACCACTCTGCCTGCAGTTGTGATCCGGCGGCAGTGGTGGCACCTCTCCTTTCCTGGCCAGCTTTCCAATGCGCGGGGCCAGCAAGCGCACCAGGCTCCACAGCGCGGCCATCGATGAAGAGGCCGGCGGGCGGGTGGTGAGTCGGCCACACTGAGGCTTCAGATTGGCTGCCATCAATCAAATTGTCTGGCATCAATTGTCTGGCATCAACCAGCTCCCTTCCTCCGCAGGGCGGGAAGAGAGGAGGAGCCGCCGCGGTTTGGGAGGGTGGGGAAGGAGAGGGGAAATGTTGCCCAAAAAAAATTGCAGAGAAATGAGCAGAAAAGAGATTGGTTGCACTCAGACAGAAACTGATTGCTTGGAAAAAAGCCCTGAAGAGCAGGGGACTTGGGCAACTGTGGGAAGGCAGGGACCTTCAGTCCTTGCAGCTGCCTCACTGGGCCAAGACCTACTGGGAAGAGTTGTTGGGATCACCATGCCTGCATGGTTTTGGTTTCTTGGAATAGAGTTGTTAACTTCACTAACATGAGTTGTTTTTTACTGCTGACCTTCTCCTGACTCCTTGTAGTGAGTTACAGTTTCTCCTCTCTGGTTTTTCCTGCAGTCTCTAATTCGACTGAGCAAGAGCTGCTTTGCCTAACAAATATGTCGCCTGTGGATCTGTTGTGTGAGCCTGTCCCTTCCTGTCTGCCTTCCCCGCAACTGAGACCAGACCCAGTCATCCTTGTACCGGCAGATCTCATTCAGTTCGAAGAACATCCACCAACCCTTTCAGGTAAAAATGAGTGTCCTCTTAAAGGAGGTCTGTCCTTGGAAGTTCTGACCAGTAGCTGTTTCCAATAGGAGCCATTCTGCCTTTGTTTCAGGACCTCCAAAATCGTTGGACTTCCCTTCCAGTGCAATTGTACTGCAATTGGAAGCCTAGTCTATAAATGCAGCAAAATGCTCTGTTTGAACGCATAAACTTCTCATGTATATGCTGCCAAATTACCAGCAATGAAATACTTCTGTGTTGTGAAAAGTTAATTGGTAGAATTCACAGCCCTTTAGCAATCCCCTTGCCGTAGTAGTGAATGCCACTTCACATCAATTGTCTCCACTTTTCAAAAGTTACCTTGTTTAGAGTAGCTCAATACACTAGTCTGCTTCCCACCCTTAGTTCAAAAGGCCTAAGCAAGTTTCTCCAGGGGTGGAAGTGTTCCATATAACCACATCCAACTCCAGCTTGCACATGCTGCTAAGATAACACACATCCCTATTGGAACAACTTTTTTCTCCAGTGAGTTTTGGCAGCCTTAGTTTACCACCAGATCTCACAGCTTTCCATACTGGACTTCAGAACACCAGGATCCAATATGTAACAAGGACCACATCCTGTTTGCTTGCATTTCTAGCCAGTGGCAGTCAACGTTCATGTATTCCACATAATGTAAATAGTGCTTTGCTCAGGCAATGCATCCTTTCATTGAAGGAGACAACTTGCTGCCTTTGTGCACAGATCAGATGCATCTGAAAATAATTTTGCTCTGAAAACTTCACGGTATTGCTTTCCCTTTTAGAGATGATTGTTTTAACGAAAGAGGAGGAGAATGCTGTTAGTCCTTTGAGAGCTAAAGAAGAGGCGAGCCACTTACATGCAGCTTCGAAAGCTGCAGAAAATACACCAGCACCTCCCTGCCCTTCAGTTGAACCGCAGCCGAGCAAAGAAGCCATGGACAGCCCAGTCAAAAGGCAGCATAAAAACAGAGTGAAGTTGGCAGCAAATTTTTCACTTGCACCCGTAACCAAGCTTTAAACTATGTCGTGTTGTGAGAGGCAACACATTGTCAGACTGCACAGAAAATGAAGCTATTGGCTACCCTTTATATTTTAAATCACAGATGGGACGGGGGGCGGGCGGGTGGTCACTTGTGTTTATCTTTGTCACTGTTGACTACCTTTTGTGAGATTTTTGTTCAGTTTACACTGAGTTCAGCTGGGCAGGTATTTTTATTTGAAACTTCAAGCATTAAATGTTTTACTGTTCCTTTTTACATTCTGTCGAATGTCAGGAAAAAACTAGCAAATGCTAAACTTGGAGTGGGATGGAATTTGAGTTTCTGAAACCTCATCACTGATGTAAAGCCTTCATATAGCATATGAATCTACAGGCAATTTTTAATGTGCGTTTTCCAGACAGGTAAGAATCAAATGCATCATCTGTCTTGGCAAAGCAGCCTATTGAGAACTTTATTTTTAATAAGTCATTAGATTGGAATAAAACCTGCAGTGGGCATCTTCAGGGTTAAATTGGTGAGAGCAAAGCCTAGGATTTTTTCTGATGACTTGTAATTGTCTCTTGTCAAAAGATGACTGTAGAGCATGGCTAGGGAGCCTGTGGCCTTCCAGATGTTGTAGACTACAGCCCCAGCCAGCATGACCTGTGGTCAAGGATGATGGGTGTGGTAGTACAATAACATCTGGAGGGCCCAAACTACCCATTCCTGCTGTAGAGGATTACATTGATTGATTACAACCCCCCTTTTAAATGCTTTCTGTAATCAGTTCCACTGAGGAATCTCGTAGGAAGGTGAGGATGTTTTTAAGCTTCCCTTTTATTGAGCGCTCCAAGTTGATGCTGTTCTGGCTTAGGAAAAGCAAGTCTTTGTGTTTTGCATTTTGAAGTCAACTTTGAGGTGCTTCTTGCAGCATCCGCCGATGAGATTACTGGGAGTATTTGATATTTCAAATATTCATTTAAGTGTACATACGTTATAAATCACAGCAAGGGGGTTTAAATGAGCTTTTTTAAAGATGGAAAGTAATGATTCTACTTCCGTTTGCACAAAAGTATGAGCAGCACATGGAAATGCCAAAGTTGTAGTGCTTTTCCTCATTTTAAAGATCCAGTAAATGGGAAGCTTAATGTGAGTCAGCATGTTTTTAACTGTGTCCGGTCTTTATTCTGATGTTTACTTTGAGTGCTCAAACCTGCTCTTGTGTGTGGTTTTTTCCCTTCCAGTCCCTATAGTGGCATTTCTGTTGGTGTTTAGAAAGGCAGGCCTTTGTTGAAGGAGGCAAGTCAGTGGAGTCCTTCTACTTTCTTTTTATAGAGAGCTAAAATGTCTTCTGACCAAAGCTTTTATACCCCCCGTTGGGTAAACTTGGCACTTACAATGGGTTGTATTTGCCAGGCAAGGATTCTTAATTGCTCGTCAGAAAGAAGGAACCTATAGCAAAGGTTTCCACTGGCTGAACGGATATGTGCGTACAAATAATATTTTTGAAATGTGTGTGAGACTGAAAAAGCAGCCTTAGATTTCACAGCCAGCAACTGAAAAATGCCACTTGATGGCTATAGACAACCTATTTTTAAAATGAGAAGAAATGGATTTTGTTTTTAAAAAGTGTTTTTTAAACAAAGCCAAGTATTAAACAGTACAGTACTAAATAATGATATAGCCATTACAAATGCAGAGAAGGACTGGAAGATTTTCTGAGATCATGGCAAGGCACAGTGTATTTGTGTGTGTACATCCTTATGTTTCCTCTACAGAGATGGGGTTTATAGGAGTGATTATTATTATTATTTTAAAAAAAGAAGAATGGAACCACTTCATGACTTTAATTGTGAGGACATCTTCCATTTACCTTATGTGTTGCTTGCATAAAACAAAGACCTGACCAATTGGGGCCTGTCATGCAAATGCAAAAACAGTCATCATTTTGAGCCACAGTTGCAAGTCATCTATAATAGACCAAGTTTTGGTGAAAACTCAAGGAGAAATAACAGTACTGTTGATGTACCTGGAATACAGGTGTGGGTTGTGCCACCTGTAGAGAATGAGAAATCTTTCTGGAGTCATGTGTAATTCTGACCTAAATCGCTGTATGAAAGTTATAGACTACCTTTTGGGGAGTTTGTTTTTCATTGTGTGAAACCAGCTAATTTGTGGGGGGGTGTTTTTGTTTTTCTACGAAGGCTTGAAGAAATAATGTGACTGGACTGATTTGGAAAAAAAATTAAGGGAATGAAATTATTTCATTTACACTTCACTAATTTTGATTTCTTGGTTGTTTTAAAAAATATCACTGAAGCCCTCAACTTATGCACTCTCAAGGAGACAAAGCTCGCCTTTCTCCTCTGTTGTCTACTCCCATTTGGACAGTTTTGTGGCTCGAGTGCTGTTTTGTGTGTTGGGACCAAACAGTTGTCAATAAAATTTCCAAGCAAGCATGCAACCTTGTCAGTTTTGTTTCTTTTAAAAAAAATAAGAACTAGGCCAGATTAAAGCCGCCTCTGCACAGCAGAAACCCCACAGAGGCCAGCTGAAACTCATCATCGCTGGGATGGTCTTCATAACTGCAAAGTTAGTCCAATGATAGTCCTATGTGGAGCAAGCCCATTGAACTTACTGAGCACAACTGACTTAGACCTACTGACTGGGAGTAGAACTCTGTTGGATAGAACACTTAAGATTAAGCACAGGCAATTTCAGACACTCTGAATTTTGCTTTGAATGGCCACTTGTGCAATGCCAGTTTCATGCCATGCATCCCTGCCATTTCTCACCATTTGTACATACCGCAAGCTGCTGAGAGTCCCAAATCCTCTGTGGGCTTTTATGGAGTGAACCGATGTAAGAGCACGTGCTGCATAAAGCCACAAGAGTCTGACAGATGACTGGTCGGTAGACTACCAACTGCCTTGTCCTATTTACAATATTTATTCATTATGTAGATGCTAAAAGGAGCTGCCATGCCATGTTTTTATTCTGCCCACGGGAGCAAATGCTGTCTTGTCAACGGAAAGAAGTGTGGAGCGCATCCTATTCTACGCACAGACTATTAAAATTGCTATTCTACATATTACTTGGTATGATTTTCTATTTCACAGCTGGCAGAGGGCGTTGGGGGGTGTCTTCCTCCCCATATACATATCATCTTATATACACACAGATCTATATATAAGGATAAAAAGTGGTACCTGCCTGTTACCTGTGAGCCCTCTCCCTAGTATCTGTCTGTCTCTCTTTTTCCTATACAAGTCTTTCCCTCCTGGAGATACAGTTATACTTAGATATATATATATATATATACTCCTTGTCTTAAACCTAGGCATGCTCACTGAGTGATCCGTGCAACAGTGAAGGAGTCACCGACAGGTACATTCAGTACACGACAGTTACTGTAAAAAAACAGTACAGGAAACTCTACTATCAAGATATCTGGATGCTTAAAGTCCTCTTCCGTCCACAGTTTTCCCGTCTGTTGGGTTGAGTGCGTAGGGGGCAGGGGGGGAGGCGGTGCCCCGTGACGAGGGAGCTACATGATGGCGCACTGGGTGGTGCCGCAACAATCCTTAATGATAGCGATTCCTGCTTTGGCAATGGTGGGCTTGTTTGGAGGAAGAGGAGGGGGCTCCGCCTTCTTCTCTGCTGGCGTACCTGTGGTTGGCAAAATGGAGAACATCCTTAATATCCTAGGCTGGGGCTTTAAAATAACATATGGAAAGTTTTGGGTAAGTTGTTGCACAGTTAAAGTATACTGTATAAAGGTAAAGGGACCCCTGACCATTAGGTCCAGTCATGGCTGACTCTGGGGTTGCGGCGCTCATCTCGCTTTATTGGCCGAGGGAGCCGGCATACAGTTTCTGGGAAATGTAGCCAGCATGGCTAAGCCGCTTCTGGCGAACCAGAGCAGCGCACGGAAACACCGTTTACCTTCCCGCCAGAGCGGTACCTATTTATCTACTTGCACTTTGACCTGCTTTTGAACTGCTAGGTTGGCAGGAGCTGGGACTGAGCAACGGGAGCTCACCCCATCGCGGGGATTCGAACCGCCGACCTTCTGATTGCCAAGTCCTAGGCTCTGTGGTTTAACCCACAGCACCACCCACGTCCCTTTACTGTATAGTCTGTACAGTATACTGTATACTAAACACAGTGACTTCCCTTCTCTTTCCGTGGTTCACTTTGCATACCAAACATCCCTGCATATTTTACATTAACTAAACTATTTAGTAAACCATTGTTACAGCCATCAAAACTTATTTACACTGTTGAATTTATCTTAATGCTACCAGCGTTTTTAAATGAACATCATTTTCACCCATATATTCAAACATTTTCCAGTCTTTTTTAAACGTATATTCTTCTTGTTCTCTTATTCTATATGTTAAATCTGCAAGTTGCATGTATTCCATCAGCTTAAGTTGCCATTCTTTGGTTGCTCGTTTTCCCGTCTGGGGCTAACAAGACACGGGCCGCAGTAGTGGCATACATAGTCTTTTTTGACTCCTGGGAATTTCCCTCTGAATTATTCCCAACAAAAAGGACTCTGGTTGTTTTGGAAAGGTACTTTTAGACATTCCCCCCCCCCAATTCATTATATACTCTCTTACCCTTTTATACGTCACTAACTTAAGGTTGTTTAAATGAATATTTTGAAATGTAAATTAGAAAATTCAATAAAAATTATATATATAAAGTATATAGTCTTCCCCAAATAATCCTGGGGACTGGGCTATGACTCTCAGCACAAACTACAGCTCCCAGGGTCTTTTTTTTTTTTTTGAGGGGCGGGGTGCAACGCCACTTCAAATTGGCTTTAAATCAATAATAATAATAATAATAATAATAATAATACTATAATATATTATTTATACCCCGCCCATCTGGCTGGGCTTCCCCAGCCACTCTGGGTGGCTTCCAAAAAAATATTAAAATACTGTAATACATCAAACATTAAAAACTTCCCTAAATAGGGCTGCCTTCAGATGTCTTCTAAAAGTCTGGTAGTTGTTGTTCTCTTTGACATCTGGTGGCAGGGCGTTCCACAGGGAGGGCGCCACTACCGAGAAGGCCCTCTGTCTGGTTCCCTGTAACTTGGCTTCTCGCAGGGAGGGAACTGCCAGAAGGCCCTCGGTGCTGGACTCAGTGTCCGGGTAAAACGATGGAGGTGGAGACGCTCCTTCAGATATACTGGACCGAGGCCGTTTAGGGCTTTAAAGGTCAGCACCAACACTTTGAATTGTGCTCGGAAACGTACTGGGAGCCAATGTAGGTCTTTCAAGACCGGTGTTATATGGTCTCGGCGGCAGCTCCCAGTCACCAGTCTAGCTGCCACATTCTGGATTAGTTGTAGTTTCCGGGTCACCTTCAAAGGTAGCCCCACGTAGAGCGCATTGCAGTAGTCCAAGCGGGAGATAACCAGAGCATGCACCACTCTGGCGAGACAGTCAGCAGGGAGATAGGGTCTCAGCCTACGTACCAGATGGAGCTGATAAACAGCTGCCCTGGACACAGATTTGACCTGTGCCTCCATGGACAGCTGTGAGTCCAAAATGACTCCCAGGCTGCGCACCTGGTCCTTCAGGGGCACAGTTACCCCATTCAGGACCAGGGAATCCTCTACACCTGCCCGCCTCCTGTCCCCCAAAAACAGTACTTCTGTCTTATCAGGATTCAACCTCAATCTGTTAGCCGCCATCCATCCTCCAACCGCCTCCAGGCACTCACACAGGACCTTCACCGCCTTCACTGGTTCCGATTTAAAAGAGGTAGAGCTGGGTATCATCCGCATACTGATGAACACCCAGCCCAAACCCCCTGATTATTTCTCCCAGCGGCTGCATGTAAATGTTGAAAAGCATGGGGGAGAGGACAGAACCCTGAGGCACCCCACAAGCGAGAGCCCAGGGGTCTGAACACTCATCCCCCACCACCACTTTCTGAACACGGCCCAGGAGGAATATATGGTGTGGATGTGATCTCATGGCACGCCAGCTGCCTTCTTGGAAGGAACAGAAAAAGTGTGCATGCAGGAGATAGAATGGATGCCGTGGAGTCTTCATGGTTTGCATAGAGCTGCTATCCATTCCTTACATTAGCTTTATGCAAACCATGAAGACTCCGCAGCTCGTTGTTAGAGAGAGCTTCGCTAAAATCTTTGGAAGAGTTTTGAAAACTCACTAGTTGGAGATCGCACGGCTTTGTCTAAGGGTTTCAACTTGATCCGGAGGAACTCCGCCATCTCCTTGTCTTCCTCCTTCTCTCTGTTTTGAAGCAAAAAATAACAAAATTAGCCAGTGGACTTGGGGTGGGTGGGAACCAGCAGCTTTTATTTTTATTTTAATGTAACTGAGAGATGCAATGAAAAGTGATGATCAGCAGAAGTTACACGACAAACAACAGGAAGCTGACTTGTACTAAGTCCTTGGAAGGTGGTGGACTTTCCTTCATAGCAGGTTTCAAAGCAGTGGTTGGAAGGCCCATTTTTGTCATGGATGGTTTAGCTGAGATTCCTGGATTTCAGCAGATTGTGAGTAGAAGACCCCTGAAGTCCCAACAGAGGCTGATTTAGGGAAGCGTGGCCAGTTTGGCCGCACTGGGCACCAAGCCGAGAGGGCTCCACAGGGGATGTCGCAAGAAAAGACAAACAATGGGGGCATAGCTGTCAACTTTTCCCTTATCTTGCGAGGAATCCTATTCAGAATAAGGGGAAAGGGGGAAAGTTGACAGCTATGAATGGGGGGGGTGGATTTTGGCATCACACAAGGCCCTGCTGAAATTTGAAAAGTCTGCCACTGCTTCTAACTCTACGGTGTTATGATTCTATGGTTCTATGATCTGTCTGTCTAGTTCAACATTGTCCACACTGGCTGGCAGTACTTCTCTGGGGGGTTTTCACGCAAGAGACACTCCCAGGCAGACTTGGAGATGCTGGGGATTGAACCCGAGGCCTGTACTGTGTTATAGGAATTCTAAGGTCTCATATATATAAATCATATGTTCATAAATTTAAAAGGCAAACACATAAGTATACAAACTATGTGTCTGAAATAGTACAGAAGAGCAATCCTGAAACCATTCTGACTCTCCCAAATTGACCTCAATTGTTTCTCTGCAAGGAGGAAGGAAATGGGAAAAACCTCCCCATTGTCTCTTTGCTCACAAATCCTGTCTTAAGGATGTATCTATGTATGAATAGGCTGAGCCTGTGACCTGGATTCAAGAACTGAGTATTAACCATCACAAAAGAAGGGCCAGGATGCCCTGGTAAAAGCAATCAGTGACTATTATCAGGTATCCTGGCAGACAGGTTTTCTGCTGTAGACTGCCCCTTCATTGATGTATGTACAGTGGTACCTCAGGTTAAGTACTTAATTCGTTCCGGAGGTCCGTTCTTAACCTGAAGCACCACTTTAGCTAATGGGGCCTCCTGCTGCTGCCGCGCCTGCTA